AACTGAGGAACAAGGGGGAGAAGAAGGGGGGAAATGGTGGGGGAAAGGGAGAGAGGCAAACCATGAGAGACTCTTGAATGCTGAGAACAAACTGAGGACTGATGGGTGTGGGGGGGAGGGGGGGATGGGCATGGAGGAGGGCACTTGTGGGGATGAGCACTGGGTGTTATGTGGAAAATAATTTGACAAACTATTTGTAATAAAATAAATAAAATTAAATTAAAAAAAGAAGACATCTAGAGGGTACAGAGGAAAGCATTAACAATTACCAGTGGGTCCTGTGCAGCTAACACGTTACTTTTCACCTGTATTCTTTGGTTCTGTGGACTTTTTTTTTTTTTAGTTTATCTATTTATTTTGAGAGAGAGAGAGAGAGTTAGAGAGGGGCAGAGAGGGAGAGACAATCCCAAGCAGGCTCTGAGCCGTCAGTGAAGAGCCCAACTCAGGGCTCAATCTCATGAACGGTGAGATCATGACCTGAGCTGAAATCAAGAGTTGGACGCTTAACCTCCTGAGCCACCCAGGCGCCCCAGTTCTATGGACTTTTTTAAACCCATGAGCTAAATTACTCTTATGAAAGTAGTATGTTTAATTGTGGGAAGCTGACCATTACATTGTATTAATTACAGTGTAAAACTATAACATCTGGAATGCTTTACCTCGTATTTCAGTCCATCGGCCCAAACATAAGTCCCTTGTCCATGCATGAGTCCTTCTGAAAACATCCCCTTTAAAACAGAACAACAGCAAACCCTTAGGACCATTCATTGATTTTATACCCCAGTTGCCACTGTGGTTTTAGTTCTCAGAACAGAGACTTATCCCACTTTTTTTTTTTTTTTCTTTTTTGAGAGGGTGGGGAAGGGGCAGAGAGAGAAGATAGAATCTGAAGCAGGCTCCAGGCTCTGAGCTGTCAACACAGAGCCTGATGCGAGGCTTGAACTTACAAACTATGAGATCACGACCTGTGCCGAAGTCAGATGCTTAACCGACTGAGCCACCCAGGCGTCCCCATCCCACTTTCATCTGCATGAATTCCCTGTCCAAATTCCCCAAAACGTACACCAAGCAGTCCTGTGCAATGCTTAAACGTGAGTTGTAAGTTCGGCTGTGTCTTCCTCTCCTGATTCAGCTGTGTAAAAGTTCCATAGCTCAAAAGAATTCATGTACTTTTGGTTTTGCACTTAAAAGTTTAAAGATTTTTAAAAATTATTTAAGCTAGAGGGGCGCCTGGGTGGCTTAGTTGGTTAAGCGTCCGACTTTCGCTCAGGTCATGATCTCGTGGTTCGTGGGTTCGAGCCCCGCGTCGGGCTCTGTGCTGACTGCCAGCTCAGAGCCTGGAGCCTATTTCAGAGTCTGTATCTCCCTCTCTCTCTGACCCTCCCCTGCTCACGCTGTCTCTCTCTCTCTCCTAGAAATAAATAAAAATATTTTTAAAAAATTATTTAAGCTAGATAGAGCTGGTTAAAACCATTATCTGGATGTTAGAAACTACCCCATTTGTAAATGTCATGCTGGTCTGTTTTCTGCTTACTGGGAATTATTGGTAGGGGTGTGCCTGGGCACCCGGACATATTCCTCTATGTGGACAATACACAATTGTCCGTATGGGCCATTTATATGTAGTGTCTGCTGTTAACATATAGGAGCAAGTCACTGAAAACTTAGCATGCCTGAATGTCTAAATGCAATCAGAGAAAACAAGGGTGAAAAGGACTTCCAGTTTGGGCCTCTGGGGTGGCTCAGTCTGACTCTTGATCTCAGCTCAGATCATGATCTCATGGATTGTGGGATCGAGCCTTATGTCCGGCTCTATGCTGATAGCATGGAACCTGCCTGGGATTCTCTCTCTCTGCCCCTCCCCAGCTCGTGCACACTCTTTTTCTCTCTGTGTCTCTCAAAATAAGTAAATAAACAAACTTAGGGGGAAAAAAAGAGTACTTCTAGTTGTTCCTTAGAATCACCTTGTGAGAGTCAGTGGAGAAAGGGGAGAACAGGTAATTCAGTGGTCCTCAGGCTCTTCCATGCTTCAGATCCACCTGGGGATTGTGAAAACCCAGATCTGCCAGGCCCACCCCAGAGACTCTCATTCATCAGTAGGTCTGGGCTGGAGCCCAAGGATAAGCATTTTGAAATAATTTCCAGGTAATGCTGCTGGTCCCCAGCACCGCGCGTGGATAACCACGGCCCTAACTCACGGGTGAGTTAGGAGCATGGATCCATCCAGCTTAGCCTGGGCTTACAACAGACAGGCTGCCATCGAGGGAAACCTTGGGGCAGCCAGGGGCTTTCCAACCCCGGGCTGGCTGTCGTTTGTATTATGGAATCAATTACAGTCACAACAACGTTGTGTTAACTGACTGAGCCACCCAGGAGATGATTATTTTTAATCAAAATAAGTGGAGTCTGAGGAAACTATGGAAAGCTTACACAGCAAGCAGCAGGCATTGGGTGGGGAGGAGAACCCAGAAATGGAGGGGTATTTGCCCCACATCAATGGTTAGGGCAAGGCCACGGGCCAGGCTTGAGCTACTGGGTCACTGTGGATGCAAGGACCGAGACAAGGCCCCCTGTAGTAGTAGGAACTGATACTGTGTCCTCAGCAGCCCAGGAGGGGTTGATCCTGTGTAATCCTGTTTCGCTGGTTGATTTTTTATTTTATTAAAAATTTTTTTTAATGTTTATTTATTTTTGAGGGGCACATAAAAAGAGAGACACAAAACCTGAAGCAGGCTCCAGGCTCTGGGCTGTCAGCACAGAGCCCGATGCAGGGCTCGAACCCAAGAACAGTGAGATCATGACCCGAGCCAAAGCTGTACGCCCAACTGACTGAGCCACCCAGGCAGCCCTATTTTTTAATTTGAGAGTGAGCAGGAAAGGCAAGTCTGGGAGAGAGGCCAGGAAGGGAGGAGTGGGAGGGAGGGACTGAGAGAGGGAGAGGAGACAGGAGAGAGAGAGAGAGAGAGAGAGAGAGAGAGAGAATCTCAAGCAGGCTCCACGCTCAGCCCTATTCACACAGCAGCGCTGCACTTAGTGCCATGATTGGTGAAAGGAGACTCTGACCACCATGAATGCCAGCAGCTTATTCCACACAAGATGGGACAGCCACGTCTGTGACTATTATCCAGGCACACTAATGGCGTTTTTAAGAGATGACATGACGTGAGAATAAGAACATGTTGTATGTTTAGCAGGAAAAAAAATCAGGGGACTGAGACCCATGCTCTACGACCCCAACCACAAAGACTTGTTCTTATTAAAAGCACACGTTTCTTGACAATAAACTATTTGTAAAAAAAATAAAAAAATAAAAAAATAAAAAAAAATAAAAGCACACGTTTCTTTGATAATCTGAATGATCCACTGCGCCATTGCTAATGACGGCCAAATACTGCCACAAAAGTGATCTAATAATTATGTGGTCATGAATAGTAAATCAGGAAGCTATGCAATATTTTAAACATTGTGGAGGAAGAAATGGGGGTGGATGGTGTTTAACTGGAGACAGAGTCTCAGTTTGGGAGGGTGAAAGTTTCCGGAGGAGGAGGGTGGGGAAGATTATGTGCTTAATGTCCCTGAACTGCATGCTTAAAAGTGGTTAAAATGGTACATTTTATGTATATTTTACCACAAAATATTTAAGTTATGAAAAGCCTGCAGCAATACAGCAAAGGATTCATAAGTGAAAAAGTTTCAAGATGTTATCTGCAAAATCAATAGGCCCATGTAAATGCTGACGTATCCATTCAAGGAATAAAAGGGACATAGAGTGTCCAAAACGTTTAAGGCAAATGGATGACAACACTGGGATTTTACTCTTCGCTTTTTGCTCCAGTCACCTTCAGGTTGTTTGCACAATAAATGAAAATCAGGAAAAGAAGGGCACCTTTTTGCACAATAAGTGAAAATCAGGAAAAGTTGCGGCAGTCGGTTAAGCATAAGCATCCGACTTCGGCTCAGGTCATGATCTCGTGGTTTGTGAGTTTGCACCCTGCATCAGGCTCTGTGCTGACATCTCTGTGTTGACCTGCTTCGGACTCTATGTCTCCTTCTCTCTCTCTGCCCCTCCCCTGCTCATGGTCTGTCTCTCTCTCTCAAAAATAAACATTTTTTTTTTAAAGTCAGGAAAAGAAAACAATCTAAAATGATGACTCCTGTGGTATGAAGCCATGGTTTTACCTTAAAATAGGTAATTGGAGGGGAGGGGTCCCTGGGTGGCCCAGTCGGTTAAGGATCAGACTTCGGCTCAGGTCATGATCTCACAGTTTGTGGGTTCGAGCCCCGCGTTGGGCTCTGTGCTGACAGCCCCCTCAGAGCCTGGAGACTCTTCAGATTCTGTGTCTCCCTCTCTCTCTGACCCGCCCCTGCTCATGCTGTCTCTCTCTCAGAAATAAATAAAAAACACTAAAAATTTTTAAAAAATATGTAATTGGGGTTCAAAGTCAAATCAGCGTTAAGTACTTCTAATTTCTTTTGAAGACTCGATGGACTCTTCCGGAAATATAAATCTCAGACTCTCCCCGAACATTCTCGCCTTCCTCCCTGCCCATTCCCAAAATGTGTAACTCACGTGGTAGGTACAGCCTCCTTGAAAGACTGCAAAGCCTTCTCCCTCATACAGTCCACGGACTTTTTCCCCTTCATAGCTGCAAAGAAATAAAGCTTAAGGTACTGAATGGCTGAGCAACCCTAAGCGACGGTGGGTTAAAATCATAATTAACATCAATGAAGAAGTACAGCAATATTTCATGTTCGTTCACTCAACAAACTTTCTCCATGAACAAGACTGTAAAGTTCCTGCCCTCGAGTGATCTTAGTCCATTGAGGAGAGACAGGCAGCAAAGAGGAAACAAACAAACAAGATGACTCCAGATCATGTTCAATTTTTGTGAAAGGTGTGATTGGGGAATGCAGGTGAGAATAAGTAGGGGGCTGCTGGGTACAGGCGGTCAGGGCAGTGGCCTCTCAGAGGACACGGGAGTTGTACTGAGACATGCAGGTCATGAACAAATAGCCCTAAGAAGAACTCTGGGAAAAGGATGATGGGCAGAGGGAACCACAAGTGCAAAGGTCCTGTGGCAGGAAGGAGCCGATAGCTTGAGTTCAGCCAACAGAAAGAAGGGCACCCCAGCTGGAGCACAGGCGGGAGAGAGGAGGGAGAGAGGAAGAAGAGAGGAAGAGGAGAGGAGACAGGAGAGGACTCTAAGAGGGGAGTTGGCCAACATCAGATTTATGGCATAAAAAGAGCTCCTGGATGGCCACTGTGTGGAGAAGAGATTGTGGGGAGAGCCAACAGCCAGGTGGAAATAGTGAAAAGGGGCAGAGATGGACGGTGACAGTTATTCTGGGCAGTTTCAGTCTGGGAGGAGGAAACAGTTCTGGAAATTGATAGTGGTGATGGTGGCACAACAGGAAGAATGTACTTAGTGCCCCTAAATCGTACACTTAAAATAGTTAAAACAGGAAGTTCTATGTTACGTGTATTTTATGATAATTTTTAAAAATATTTTTTGTTTATTTTTATTTATTTTGAGAGAGAGAGAGAGAATGGGAGCAGGGGAGAGGGAGAAAGAGAGAGGGAGAGAGAATCCAAAGCAGCCTCCATGCTCAGCGTGGAGAGCTCAATTCCACAACCCTGGGATTGTGACCTGAGCCAAAATCAAGTATCAGACACTTCACCGACTGAGCCATCCAGGGGCCCCTCGGTTGCCCTTCTACACACTAATACAGAAATATACTAGAATACCCTAATTGATACACTAATAAAATACTAGCAGAAAGGGAAATTGAGAAAACAATTCCATTTACAATTGCACCAAAAACAATAAAAATACCTAGGAACAAATTTAACCAAGGTGCTGAAAGACCTGTGCTCTGAAAACTATAGAACACAGATGAAAGAAATGGAAGTCAACATAAACAATTGGAAAGATGTTCCATGCTCGTGGATTAAGAATTAATATCATTAAAATGTCCATACTGGGGCGCCTGGGTGGCTCAGTCAGTTGAGCGTCCGACTTTGGCCAAGGTCATGATCTCATAGTTCGTGGGTTCGAGCCCCGTGTCGGGCTCTGTGCTGACAGCTCAGAGCCTGGAGCTGCTTCAGATTCTGTGTCTCCCTCTCTCTCTGACCCTCCGCTGCTCATGCTGTCTCTCTCTCTCTCTCAAAAATAAATAAAATATTAAAAAATAAAATAAAATAAAATAAAATGCCCATACTACCCAAAGCAATCCTCAGATTCAGTGTAATCACTATTGGAATGCCAACAACATGTTTCACAGGATGAGAACAAATGATACTAAGATTTGTGTGGAACCACAAAAGCCTCTGAATAGCCAAAGCTATCCTGAAAAAGAGAAATAAAGCTGGAGGTATCACAACCCAGATTTCAAGATCTACTATAAAGCTGTGGTAAACAAAAGAGAATGGTACTGGCACAAGAACAGATGTACAGATCAATGGAACGGGACAGACAGCCCAGTAAAGCCACACTTACATGGTCAGTTACTCTACCACAAAGGAGGCAAGAATATACAAAGGAGAAAAGAGAGTCCAAAGGATATATCCAATAAGGGGTTAATGTATAAAATATATAAAGAACTTATATAACTCAACACCAAAGATACAAATGATCCAATTAAAAAGTGGGCAGAGGACCAAAATACACATTTTCCCAAAGAAGATAGACCAAGGGCCAACAGACACATGATAAGATGCTCAACATCACTCACCATAAGGGAAATGCAAATCAAAACCATAATGAGATTTGACCTTACACCTGCCAGAATGGCTAGACTCAAAAAGGCAAGAAGTAAGTGCTGGCGAGGATGTGGAGGAAAGGGAACCCTCATGCACTGTTGGTGGGAATGTAAATTGGTACAGCTTCTCTGGAAAACCATATGAAGGTATCTCAAAAAATTAAAAATAGAAAAATCATAGGATCCAGTAATCCCATCACCAGATATTTGCCCAAAGAAAACGAAAACATTAATTCAAAAAGATAAATGCACCCCTGTTTGTCGCATTATTTACAATAGCCAAGATCTGGAAGCAACCCAAGTGTCCATCCATAGATGAACAGAGAAAGAAGATGTGGTATGTATACTTGATGGGATATTACTCAGCTATAAAAGGGTATAATATCTTGCCTTTTGCAACACTATGGATGGACCTAGAGAGAATCATACATTAAATAAGTCAGAGAAAGACAAATATACAATTTCACTTAGATGTGGAATCTGAAAAACAAACAAAAAGCAAAACAGACCCATAAATACAGAGAGCTGATGGCTGCCAGAGCAGAAGGGGGTGGGGGGATGGGCCAAATGATGAAGGGGAGACAGAGAGGCAGGCTTCCAGTTATGGAGTAAGTCCCGGGGAATAAAGGGTACAGCATAGGGAATGGAGTCAATGGTATTGCAGTCGTGTTGTGTGACAAGAGATGGCAGCTATACTTGTGGTGGCCAGAGGTAACATAGAAGCTTGCTGAATCACTATGTTGTACACCTGAAACTAACATGACATTAGGTGTAACCATACATTGATTAAGAAATGAAAAGATGGGGCGCCTGGGTGGCTCAGTTGATTGAGCGACCGACTTCGGCTCAGGTCATGATCTCACGGTTCTTGAGTTCGAGCCCCACGTCGGGCTCTCTGCTGTTAGCCTGTCAGCGCAGAGCCCGCTTTGGATCTTCTGTTCCCCTCTCTCTGCCCCTCCCCCGCTTGCGCTCTCCTCAAAATCAATAAATATTTAGAAAAAAATAAAAAGAAATGAAAAGAAAAATGGCCACAGGTATCATTTAAACCATAGATCTTGACTGAGCATGCCCTCTGTCTAAGGTCTGGTGTTTGATACTCTGGCTGTGTCTGTGGTAGGACAGAATTTTCCACTTGGTAGAGAAGTTGAGACTTGGAAACAAATCATGGTAATTCATACATATTACATAAGTATGTAATAGAAAGTAGTGCATACTATGTACATAGTAATGTATGATAGAAAGTGATAAGCATGATAAAAGAAGTTTTGAGAAAAATTACTTCCTACTGGGAAGAATTGATGGAAAAGATTTGGACCAGAAGCGTAGGTTGGGATTTGGTCATTCAGAAACCAGGTAAACACTCCAGCAAAGAAACCCATTTTTGCAAGCAAAGATTTAAAAATGGGATTGTGGGGGAACATCTAACTGGGCTCTTGAGTTTAAGAGCAGAGAGGCAGGCTGGGGTCTGAGCATCGGGCTAAGGGGTTTTATTCTGTAGACAATGGAAAGAAATCAAAAGTTTTCAAGAGTGTGGTACCTAAAGATACTCATGTCCAAGCAGCCACACCTTGTGGAATCCTCTCTCACACTGAAGAGGGCTGACCTGTGAGACCACTAGGGTACTGCAGAAATGATGGAGGGTATAGGCGCCTGGGTAGCTCAGTCGGTTAAACTTCAGCTCAGGTCCTGATCTTGAGGTTTGGGAGTTCGAGCCCCACATCAGGCTCTATGCTGATGGCTCAGAGCCTGGAGCCTACTTCTGATTCTGTGTCTCCTTCTCTCTCTGCCCTTGCATGGCTTGCACTCTGTCTCTCTTTCTCTCTCTCAAAAATAAACATTAAAACAATTTTTAAAAAAATAAAGAAATAAATGACAGAGGGTGGTGACTGAGAGCAGGTCACAAAAGCCACATGGCTTCCGCCTTTGCTCTCTCTTGGATTCTCTCTGGGGAAGCCAGCTGCTAGGTGGTGAGGACACCAAGGGACACACTGCTGTGTGATGAAGAACCGAGGCCTCCTGCCAACCGCCATGCCAGGGAGCCCCTTAGAAAGCAACTGTGCAACCGGCCAAGCCTTCAGAGGACGGCAGTCTAGACTCACATCTTGGCTGAACCTCCAGAGATCCTAACCCAGTGCCATCCTGCTGAGCTGCTCCCAATTTCGTGACCCCCATAAACTATGTGAGGTAATATTTGTTTTAATTACCACGCTCTGGGGCAAAGTGTTACACAGACAGGTTACTAATCCCAGGAATGATGTACGTAAACAATTAGGAAGGCAAATCCATACAGGAGTCCTGGGAAGAGTCTAGAAGCAGGGAAATCTTTAGGAAGTGAGTCCAATGGCCCAGGCAAGAGGGAATGAAGAGGCGAAACATAGAGGAAAGGCTAATGAGAGAAGCACGAAGGAAAAAGAAATATAAAAGGGAAGGAGGACGACAACCTGGGTAGGGAGGGAAACGGCAGTGCCCTTACAGAAATAGGGATCAACGGAGAAGCGAATGGCTGGGGGAGAAAGAGCGACATCCAGAGGAACTTTCTATGGGGTGTATTTTTCCCAGTGAAGAATGTGAGGATCAGAAAGGTTCAATGACGGGGTTGATGTCACACAGATCAGACCCCAGTCCAGATCTTATTTCAAGTTCTGCGGTCTTTGCTTTCAGACACAGGGGGCTTGAAGTCCGGTGGACGATGTCCAGTAGGGAGTTAAAAATTTGAACATGAATCTCCAGAGAGATAACAGGGCTAAAGATACAGATTTTTATAGTCACCTAAGGGAGTGACAGGCAAAGCCACAATAAGAGATTGTGGAGAGAGAGAGAACAGAGCATGAAAGCAGTAGAAACGGGGAAATGGAAGACGCAACCCATTAAATTTACCTTTCAACTATGAGCTTGGTGAGAATGGGCTCTTCGTATTGAGTGGCATCTTCATTTAGCTGGTCCTCATTTTTGGACTCTTTTTTGGGCCCCAATTCACTGAGATGTATGTCCAATGGTGGGGCAGCACCAGGGGACATTTCTTGTCTAGTGGCATTGCCATCTTGTTTGGAAAAGTCTGGATTATCAGAGGAGGGAGAGCGGGCAAACTTCTCCCCCTTTTTGTCTGCTCTTTTCTTTTCTTTCACCATCGTCTTTAGAAGTCCTAAAGTTTATATATGTAAGTGTCAAATGATCCCTTTGGTTGGGAGCTGTTTGTTTCAAAGTGTTGATCAGTTTTATCTGAAAAAGAAAAACTGTAGCTCTACATACTTTCAGGTTTCATCTGTAGTTAAAATTTTATCATTACATGGGGCGCCTGGGTGGCTTAGTCGGTTAAGCGTCCGACTTTTGCTTAGGTCATGATCTCACGGTTTGTGGGTTCGAGCCCCGCGTCAGGCTCTGTGCTGACAGCTAGCTCAGAGCCTGGAGCCTGTTTCAGAGTCTGTGACTCCCTCTCTCTCTGACCCTCCCCTGCTCACACTGTCTCTCTCTCTCTCCTAGAAATAAATAAAACATTAAAAAAAATGTATAAAAAAATAAAATAAAATAGAATTTTATCATTACAACCCAATGTCATTTTCACTCTCTTTCTAAAGCTTGAAAAATTACGACTACGAAAGTATCAGTTTATAAAAATGTAGCATTGGTTGTTCCTAAAATATTTATTGTATTTATTTTTATTTTTAAATGTTTGTTTATTTTTGAGACAGAGACAGAGCATGAGCAGGGGAGGGGTAGAGACACAGAATCTGAAGCAGGCTCCAGGCTCTGAGCTGTCAGCACAGACCCCACAAACTACAGGATCATGACCTGAGCCAAAGTCAGACACTTAACTGACTGAGCCAAGCAGTCACCCTGTTCCTAAAATTTTTTAAAACTGGTAACACTGCCTACCATTTCTTTTTAAATACTGTTCCAGAAAGAAGGGAACCCAATACATTAAAAATGGCTACTTAATCCTTAAGGTCTTTCGTGCTTCCAATTCCCATTTTGAAAGCCCATCTCTTAATGCGTCTACATGGCGGGGCACTTGGGTGGCTCAATTAGTTAAGTGTCCGACTCTTGATTTCTGCTTGGCTCATGATCTCGAGGTTTGTGGGTTCGAGCCCTACATCGGGCTCTGTGTTGATAGTGGGAGCCTGCTTGGGATTCTCCCTCTCTCTCTCTCAAAAAATAAATAAACTAGGGGCACCTGGGTGGCTCAGTCAGTTGAGTGACTTCAGCTTGGGTCATGATCTCGCGGTTTGAGAGTTCAAGCCCCACATTAGGCTAGTTGCTGTCAGCCTGTCAGCACAGAGACCGCTTCAGATCCTCTGTCCCCCTCCCCCACTTGTGCTCTCCCAAAACAAATAAATATTTAAAAATAAATATAATTGCAAGGCAAAGTAAAAAAGCTGCATTCAGGGTCCCACATTACCCCTTACCAGCTGTGTGTGTGGCAGGTTAAACTCCTTCTGCTTCAGATACCAAATAGAAATAACAGTGCCTGGTCTCATTTGTAAGAATTACATGAAATGATGCACAGAAACCCCAGTAGTGGGCTACAGCACACTATCAATGATGCTGTGATTATTATGCCACTTTGCATTATTATGTCAAGTTTTTGAACTTGAAATCGTGGGCTGCCTACTCCCTATGCCAAACCGAGTGCCCCTCATGCCAGAAAAGGAGCCATGTAACGTTTGCCCAAGGTCACAGAGCTGAAGGGCAGGTCCCCAAGGCCACGGTTTTCATGGCCTCCCAAACTGGCCCCATTGAAAGCATCCCAGGATAGGGGCGCCTGGGTGGCTTAGTCGGTTAAGCCTCCGACTTTCGCTTAGGTCATGATCTCGTGGTTCGTGGTTTCGAGCCCCGCGTCGGGCTCTGTGCTGACTGCCAGCCTGGAGCCTGTTTCAGTCTGTGACTCCCTCTCTCTCTGACCCTCCCTTGCTCACGCTGTCTCTCTCTCTCTCTCTCTCTCTCCTAGAAATAAATAAAACATTAAAATAAAATTAAAAAAAATAAAAAGAAAGCATCTCAGGATAACAAGCAACATACAAAGACAAGTCCTGGGGTGCAGGCAAGGGCTAGTCCCTCCTCACACCCTGGGGGGTGCAGGGGGCACCCCACACACCCTCTGCTTGGATGGCATCACCTGGACACCCCTGGCTTTGCTCTCACCAACACTATCTCACTTTTCTTTTCCTTCAAATCCCATTACTCTTTCCAGCCCACACCTCAGTGAAGCTCAGGGAGTCTTTGCTGTAGATAGGCTTTCTGGTCTGTGAGTGAAATCTGAACTACAAATAAGGCCAACCTCATTCCTGGAAGCGTATTTCCCAGTAACTTTTGTTTATATTCTGTTGCCCCTGGCTTAAGGCTCTTTAACTCCAGCTATTCATTCCTTCACTAGGCAACACAAAAGGGGCGCACATTCTCTGAGCTTGGGGTTCCTGGCAACTTCTGCCCACGGCACCTGCTCAGGTTCTGGGGGCGCGTCCGCCTGACGGAGGAAGAGCCGGACCTGGCCGGCAAGTCGACCAGAAGCATGCAGGACCACCGGTGGCCGCTCACCTGGCTCCGAACTCCAGGGGGACCGGAAGCAGCCAGGCAGAGGTGGAGGTGGTGAGGCGACGGCAGAGCGTCAGGACCGGGGCTGGTCTCCAGGCAACCACAGGCTCCGCCCACCCGTCCCGCCCTTAAAGGGACCGACGGACGAGAGGCCGCTGAGCAACAGGGCTCGAGGCCGGTTGGCAACTGGAGCTGGACGCACCGGACCTGGGTTTTCCCCGCTCTGCTAATTGCTGCTAATTGCCGCGTGGCCTCGCAGCGTTTATCTTCAGGTAACACAGGAATCTAGGCGGCTTCCCACTGCTGTAGACAAATTACCCCAAACTTAGTGGCTTAAAGCAACACAAATTTATCATCTTAAGATTCTAAGTTAAAAGTCCAACAGGGCTGGTTCCTTCTGGTGGCTCCAGAGGAGAATCTCTTCCATCTTTCCAGTTTCTAGAGGCAGACTTTCTACAGCCTCGATATCAGCTGGGAAAGGTTCTCCAATTTTTGAGTCACCTGCTAGATTGGGCACGTGCAGCCAATCCAGGATACTCGCCCCACTTCATGGCCCGTCCCTCAACCACATCTTCAGAGCCCCTCTGGCCACTTGGGTCACATATTCGAGGGCTCTAGGGGAAGAAGGGGGGGGTTGCCTACCGGACCCCAATTTGTAGAGTTCCTGCAGCTATTAAATGAGATCCTGAAGCAGGGCACAGTAGCATCAACACTTATGACAATAATTACTCGATTATTTCAATACATCGAAGGAATCCCAAGTTTGCAAAGGGAAGCTGAGCGGGAGGGCTGTCCACACTGGTCACTGTACGCCCACAGCCGTCTGGGTTCACTTCCTTTCATCTCTGGCAGGACGAGCTTCCATGAAAAACTATTTGACAACAGGGGCTCTGCTCTCTCAGGACCAGTAATGAGAACATCTTGTGATTCGCACCCCACAAAAAAACCACATCGCAGCATTAAAGTTACAGAAAAATCAATCTTTTATTTCCCCTTGCCTCCAAACAATGTTTGCTGGAGAACATTTAAAAATAGTGACCCCCCAGGCCCCACTTGGCCATTTTCTTCCAGCTGGGCAGGAAATCTCCCTTGGGTTATTTTTTTTTTTAATTTAATGTGCCTTAGGGTGGAAAACCCCGAACCCAAAAGGACCACACTTTTATAAGATTAAACAATTACAAATTTAATTGTACCACAGTTGCAGACAGTTGCAGACAGTTGCAGACTAAAATACCTCAGCCCGCAGCAGTAGAGGCCCAGGTGGCTTTCGAAGCATTCTTCCTATTTTGTTTGACATGCTCTTACCTGTACACACGCACACACATTCTGGTGCCAGCCAGAAAACAGTGCACGCAAGGCTCCACGTGGTCTGACAAGGTTCCCAATATCATTTCTAGTGGATCAGATCTTTTTTTTTTAAACAGGTTAATTTGGAAACAAGCGGACTTGCTAAAACCCTGCTTTTGAAAACAGCAAAACCTGTGATAAAATGTACAATTCTAGAAAGCGAGAGATGTCAGTTTTGCGAAATGACATCCAGGTTGGCAATGTGTCTCATGGTCGGCCTTCCGTGGGGACAGTTCCAGGGATGGTCCATCTCACCCATGTGGGTGATCAGTTTCTTCATCTCACTTGTGTTTAGGGCCGTTCCAATCATCACCTGAGTGGGCGACATGACAGTTTAAAGTTGTACGGGCTCTGGTTAGAAGAGCACCTCTCCAGCACCGTTTTTCTCTGGAACCAGGATGTACGCAACGACAACTCAAAAACAGCGGTCCTGGAAATATCTTGCTCCGTGGAACCCCACCCTCTGATCTCTGAGCCCTCACCTCTTTGTGAAATCCAGCCCCTCCTTTACGGCAACACACCAAACCTGCCCAGGATGCAAGCAGTCTCAGCCGCCCTCCCGCCGCCATGACCCGTCTGTCACCTTGGCAACTGCAGGGCCTCTGAACGGCCTCCCCGCTGTCCCCTTGACCCCTCCACCTGTTCTCCACTCAGCAGCCAGTGATTCCTTTCACAGGCTGTCAGATCACATGGCCCGTCCGCCCTCCCAGCTCTTGCCTCTTACCGGGGTAAAAGCCCACGTGCATCACCCCATCTGGCCCCTCATTGGCCTTGTGCCTGCATCTGCGAGAGCGCAGCCCTCCCTGCCCCTCTTCAGCACACTGGCACCCCCTTTCCTTTTTTTAATGTTTTGACTTTATTTTTGAGAGAGAGAATGAATGTGAGTGGAGGAGGGGCAGAGAGAGGGAGACACGAATCTGAAGCAGGCTCCAAGCTCTGAGCTTCAGCACAGAGCCCATGCAGGTCTTATACCCACAAACTGCGAGATCAGGACCCGAGCCGAAGTCCGACACTTGCCCGACTGAGCCACCCAGAGGCCCCGAGGAACTTGCTCGTTTCTTCTCGCTCAGGTGCACTACACGAGCACCTACCCTGGGACCTGGGCGCTGGCCATGCCCTCTGTCCGGGATCCTCCCTCCTCACTCCCCCTCCCTTCAGTCCCCTGTCCCTGCCTCTTCTTGATGAAACAGCACTCCGCTCGCATCTCCAGCCATCCGCGGAGGTGAGCAGGCTCCATAGCAAGCACAAGAAAACAGAGACACCAGGAAAGTCGATGTGAGGCGACAAGCCTGAACCTATATGTCACCTGCCTCCTTCCACATGCCACGCACAGCCCCAGAGGCAGCGTAAGAGGTGGGGCTCTGCCACTTGGGGGCAGACAGACCACAGACAAGTCAAGAGAGAAACAGGTATCACCCAGGGGGCTGCGCCTGGGTGCCTGGGGAGCCTAGGGCAGGAGGGAGCCAGGCTATGTGAAGGCAGTATTCGAGGCGGGCGCCGGTGCGGCTGCGGACCTGGCATGTGGCCTGTGTGGCAGGAGCTGAGCGAGTGGACGGGATGGAGCGGCCGGCAGGGCATGGGCCCTCGGGGTGCGACAGAGGAACACCCACATCAGTAGCTGTGTGCCACAGCACGAGGCCCCGGGGTGGGGGGTGGGGGGTAGGGAAGGGCAGCCTGTGGCTCCGCAGTCTGGGAGTCCCCTAGAGGCAGGATTCTAAAACTCCGAGCCATTGACACAGGCCAGTTTGCCCTGCCTCCCACTCACAGACCCCGGGATGGGGGCGCCACTGTTAGGTCTTCATCAAAGAGATACCTTCGGCTGGAAGTCACATCCTCCCCCCACCCCCTCCCTGGAGGAACTTCATCCAATCCCCAGGCTCTAGGTGCCCCCAAGCTTTGATCTCCACCACTGACATTTCCCCTGAGCTCAGATCCATTAACCTGTCTGCAGACACCTGCACTTAAGCCTGGTGGGGCCGCAAATACAACACGTCCACATCAGCTTTTATGCTCCCCACCCCCCAAACGCGAGCACGCTGCTGCTTTGCCGCCTGCCTTGTTCCATTCGGGCGCCCCCCACCTGCAGGTGCCACGCTGGCACCTGGACCTCAGCCCTTCAGGCGAGCTCCCCGGTCCCCACCAGGACCTCAAGACCCCGGGTGGGTCCCTGATGCTGCTCGGCTCACATCGTGGCCCCCCTCTGGTCACAGACAGCCTCTGGCTTGGCACCAATGCTCCCCCCACCCCGCATCTGTGCACTTGCTATTTCTTCTACTTAGAGAGCTCTTCCCCGAGGGCCTCCATGCCCCCTTCCAGGCATCAGCCCAGATGCCCCCTCCTCAGATGGCCTTTCCCTGACCCCCAACCTCAGCTGCTCTGCCCGGGGGGAGGGCCCAGGCCACTCTTTCTCCCCATACTGTTTTAGTTTCTTTTCTTGGCCTACTGGTATCAGAAGTTATTACTTTCACTTAGGTCTCTTCCCCACTAAACTATAAGCTCCGTGAGGGCGAGGACTCCTCTGCCTTGTCCCCTCTGTGTCCCAGGTGGCACCTGGGTGCAATCTCTGATGAATGAAGGGCAGCCGGCTGCTCCCAGGGTTCAAGGGTTCTAGATGCAACAGCTTTACTCTGACATCAGGCTGATCGCCCCACATCCGCCACCACCTCCAGGACAGCCTGAGCAGCGGCAGTGAAACATCACAGTAATCACAGGTTAGAGGTCAGAGACATCACAGACTCGTGCAGCTCGCACGTCACACTGGCAGAGAAGGGTGCAGCCGTATTACATATGATGACCCATGGCAGTCAAGGCCAGAGTCGACAGCGCTGCCTGGCCCACGGTTGGCCCAAGCAGACCCTCCAGGCCCTGGCAGACCAGTGCTGTTTACTTACAGACTTTCGACAGGCTCTGGAGGCAAACATCTGTCTGACACGGGAAGGCCGGCACATGACCCCAGGGCTGTCACTTAGCATGAAGATCAGTTCATCGATGTCCTGAGGTCCAAAGGTCCAGTTTTTACTGGTTGGCAAGGAAATCAATTTAGCCTTTTCAGTGACTGGAGCTGAAGGAATAAAATTTGGAGAAGAATCCATTATTTGAAAAGTATGTTTCATTTGATGCCTACCTAGAACGAACACTGAAAAACAGGACAGAGACAAAATGCTTTTTGGGGGAACCATTTCCGTCTCTGATCAAATACACTGATCTCAGGCACCTCGAAGACTGTTCCCAGCCCTGACGGGACACCATCCTGACATCCTAGTCACTCACCCCCTTCGTCGATAACAAAATCAAAGCCATTCTTTCTGAATATTTCCAGATTTTCTATTAGGATAGCTTCATTGACAGCTGTTAGGTTGAGAGTCTGGGGTCTGAAAAAACAGAGAAGAGATTCAAACCCAGTCTTGAAGTCAAACGTTGAAGCCATAAAGCAAAAATGAAACAAAATCACTGTGTGCTGCTTTGAATTTCAAACAGCAACATGAGTGACTTTATTTAGCTGCGTGCCTCTCATGTCACATAACTGCCTGAGAATTTCCTGCTAATTTTCTTTTTTTTTTTTTAAGTTCAAATGACCCCCAAAGCAGATGGCTTTTCCTCAGTCTGCCATCCCGCCCCAACGACCCCACATTTCTCTCAATCCAGTCCCTAAAGATAATACAGCATAAAGACGCTATGTTTCCTCCCGCAATACAGGCCACGTGGAAAGCCGGGCTGGGTCATCACGGGCATCTGAAAGCAGAGTACAGATGACCCTCCGAGCCTGCGTTATTGATCTCACCATCTGTCCAGGCAGCAACCTGTCCACCGGTCCTCCTGGGTCGCCGAGTCCTTAATCAGCTGGAACTCATCAGGGCAGGAGATAGGACAGTGTGCGCATGGACACGTGCACACAGGCCCAGTCTCCCCCTTCACGGAGTAAAAGACCAGTGGAGAAGAGCGACATTGAACATGCAAACTATAATTACCAATTACGCTGTCAATAAGGAGGCGGAGACACCCAGCGCCGTAAGAGCGCAGAGCAAGGGAGATGGACCTGGAGACAGGAGTCAGGGAGGGGGTCTCTGAGGAAGGGACCTCGGAGCTGAGAGCCGGGGTGAGCGCCCGTTACCAGGCAATGGATGGATGGGTGAGCGCAGGGATAAGCATTCTAGGCAGGGAGAAGTCTGTGCAAAGGCCCAAGGATGGACCACTGATGTTCCCAAAGCCACATACAAAAGATCCACTTCATTCTTCTTAATGACACGTAGGGAATCATCAGACCTGTCAACGTTTTGAAAAAGAGACAGCCAGTGTGGCTCAAGCATTGAGAACAAGGAGGGGAGGGCCTGGGGAGGGCCAGACAATACGGGACCTTGTAGGAAAGGAAGGATCTATGGTCTTTATCCTTGGACCATGGGCCACCTGGGATCCCAAGTGATCTGTGATTACCTGGGCTGACCTGAAATGTCACAAACAAGACCTTATTTATGCAAAAAAGACCTCTGTGAAAGAGGCAGGAATAATCCAGGATAATAAAGTAGCTTATTAAATGTCTTTCTTTACACAGGGCACCTGGGTGGCTCAGTTGGTTGAGCATCCGACTTCGGCTCAGGTCATGATCTTGCAGTTCGTGGGTTTGAGCCCCGCATCAAGCTCTGTACTGACAGCTAGCTCAGAGCCTGGAGCCTGTTTCAAATTCTGTGTCTCCCTCTCTCTCTGACCCTCCCCTGCTCATGCTGTCTCTCTCTCAGAAATAAAAAAAAAACATTGAAAAAAAAATTTTTTTAAGTAAAAAAAAAAGTCTTACTATTACCATTTACATCTGCTGAAAATAAACGAATTCAACCGTTCCATAGGAAATAGACTACTCTGTAAACTCAGTGCTTTTTCCCAGCTGAGTGACTGTTTTTTTCACGCAAGGATTTACTCCCGTTGGGACCTCAGTGTACTTCTCTATGTCACTGGACTTCCCAAATGAAAATCCGTGACCTCTTCTTATCCCTTGGCTTTAGAAAACACTTCTGGTCTACATGATACACCATCCCACCGCCTTGTAAAGCGGTCAGCGTAAAACAGGCGTTGGCAGAGGAGAGAGAAATACCAAGTTCTGCAGTGACTGATCACTGGACTCGACCTGTGCTAGCTGAGGACGGACACAAACGCAGCACCGCCCTTCTGAACAGCTAAATTCTAGGTGCTATAAACAGACGCGTTATGTACCATACGCTGGCCTTCATTGGAAGGATTTCCTGGCCCGCCAGAAGAGGTAAAGGGCTTGAGAAATAAAGAACACTGGCTGTGTGAACTTGGGAAAGTCACCTAACCTCTGTGTTCGTGCGCCTCCGTTTTATCATCCACAAAGTGCTAATGGTAACAGGTTTGGGAAGGTTAAATGAATTAACACGTGTAAGTGGTTTCATCAGAGCCTGGCACACAGGAAGCAGTCAAGAAATGGCGGCTAGGACTGCGGTGTGAAAAGTATAAAAACCTGCCATAGGGATGCTTGTGGCTAAAAGAGAGAGAGACACACACACATACACATATGCTCTCAGGTCTTAAGCTGTAGGGATGCGAGAACACCAGAGATTCTGAACACCAGAAGGAACTCACGCAATAAGCCTTTGCCCCTGGAGGGCGGTGTGCTGCTGGAGCATCTCGAAGTTGTACTTCTCATCTGTGGCGTGCTGGTCCACTATGAAGATATCTGCATCCAGTTTGGTGATTATGAATCCCAAGTTGAACTGACCGATGATCTCCATGTCTGCAAACATCGTTTTACTGCATGTGGAAAATGTTCATTATGAGACATCAATGATTTATAAAAGGTTACTTTCTGATTGTAAAACAGAGACTGTAAGAGAGGAACTATACAAAAACATAAACTAGAAAAAGTCCCTAATAATCCCACTGTCTGAAGATAACAGTAGTTGTTCACTCGTTTATCCAGCTCCCCAGAGATGGTATTAGTAACTATGGCTCATGTGGCATAGATATTCCCAGACCTTCGTCTACACGTTGTTTAAAAAAAACAGAAACAAAAATGGGGGCGCCTGGCTGGCTGGGTCAGTTAAATGTCTGACTCTTGACTTGGGCTCAGGTCATAATCTCAGGGTTTGTGAGTTCAAGCCCCACAGTGGGCTCTGTGCTGACGTTGTGGAGCCTGCTTGGGATTCTCTGTCTCCCTCTCTCTGCCCCTCCCCTGCTCGCTCTCTCTCATAATAAAAATTTTAAAAAATAGAATCATAATTCCCCATGCCATTCCAAGTGCCTCACTTCACAATGCACCTTCGGGGCTTTTCCACACCCATCCGTGTAGATCTCCTTCATTCTTTCTAATGGCCATATAGGAGCTCACTGTAAACACCTACCACAACCCGCCCGACAAATCCCCTACTGAAGGACAGTTTGGGTGCTTCCATTTTGAGGAATGTAAACACTGCAGCAAACGTTTGTGGACATAAATCCACTCTATTCTGGAGGTATTTCTGTATGATAAATCCCTAGATTTGTAACTGTGTAAAAGTACCTTTTCACCAATCCTGTGTATCAATCTTTCTAGTATCTGCCAACCTCAGCACCGGGTCCTTTGGTGAGTGGCTTCAAAATCTAATACCATTCAAGCCTATGTGCGTCAGTGCAGACAAGACAGACACCACCACTGATTGTCACATGAGAAACTGACACTGCCATTCTATCCCCCACACAACTAAACTCTGTGAAAATGGGTTTTCATGAGGATCAGCCCCGAGGTGCTCAGATGGTGAGTCGAGCTGAGACCTGAGATGGTCTTTCTTTCTGTGAGTGCCCCAGTGCAGCGAGGAAGATCCCTTCCACACCACAGCGCCCGCCTGGGCTCCCGTGGGGCTTGCTTTGGTTGGCGCTTGGCCACAGTCAACAGAGGGTGATGGTCTAACATTGACGCCTCTGTGTGCCATGGATTACTAAGCTCCCATTTCCTAGGGGCAAGGAGCTCAGCACTGAGCTCCAGTCCAAGGTCAGGCCCAAACTAATCCCCAAACCCTATCTTTGAAGGCGTGTCTCCTGGGATCATTCCCTGGTAGTAATTTCGTGTCAGAGTCCAATCAAGAAACAAAAACCACACCACCAATTTGAACAGCGGAAATTCGTAATCAGGTACTAATCAGGTACGGGCAACAAGTATAAGGTAATTAATTACTAAGCTAAGAGACACAGGGGGAGCAGAATGAGCAGTGCTGGGCCTCCTGCTGGTGGCTGCCTTGTAGGAGGAAAAGACCAGGGCAGCCAGGAGCAAGGAGAGAGGCTGCAGTGGCCCTCCACCGCCCCCTACTGACCACATCTAGAAGTGCACCAGCAGAGATGCTCACATGGTCCAGCCTGAGATGGCAAAGGAGGGATCCTACAGCGGATTCAAACCAAGACGCAATACATCCATAAGCAGCACCAACACCACGTCCCTGGTGAGGCTGTGCTCTGGTTCCCCGGGTAGAGTCCCCGGCCTGAGAATGCAGGAATTCTCTCCCTGCAGGTGTTATCTCCCACCGTAAAGTGAAAAAATAGCATCAGGCTCAACCAATGAAGAAGAAACAAAACTGTACAACTTGCTGTATTTGGTTATAACTCAAAATGGAAACCCAAAGCTGATAAACGCTACCCTGGTATTTCAATCACTGCCTCATCTTCCACTCTGGACGTGTCTCGGGAAAAAGTATTGGCAGGACAGCTAAGAACAAAGGGCCGATGCAGCAGCAGTGCACCGAAGGCCAGATGCCAATGCCAGGCCCACTGGGGATCAGCGTTTCTCACAGTGAGCATCTGGGGTACCTGACAAAAAGGCGGATTCCTGGGCTCCCCACCCACAACCCACCAACCACATCTACTGAAACAGAATCTCCAGAGCCTGGCCATGGGTTCTGCTTTCTGAACAAGCTTCCTAAGCGATTCTTTTGTGTTCCCCAAATTCAAGAACTACGATAAGAGGTGATCGATGAATATTTGCTGAATTAAAATCACTACTTTTAAGAATTATAGTTGAGGTCATTCACTGGGAAGGCTAAAAGAATCCAGAGTTGGGCGCCTGGGTGGCTCAGTCAGCTGAGCATCCAACTCTTAATTTCGTCCCAGCTCATGATCTAAGGGTCTGTGGGACAGAGCCCTGCATCAGGCTCTGTGCTGAGCCTGGAGCCTGCTTGGAATTCTCTGTCTGTCTCTCTCTCTCTCCCCCTCCCACTCTCCACTTATATGTGCGCGCGCGCTCGCTCTCTCTCTCTCTCAAAAAAAAAAGAAAAAAAGAAAAGAAAAGAGAAAGGAATCCTAAGTGAAAGCATAATTAGTTTCCACTTGGGGCACCTTACAGGTCTTTCTCCAACAACACGTGTTCCAAGATCGTGCGTGTGGGAGCGGGGAGGGGGGCTCTTCGCTGCATCCCTCAGCGTTCACAGGCCCCAGACCCCACCCAAACAGGCTCGCCTCCATTAGTCACACACAACTTAAAGGAACTATTTCCTATGGTATCTGAGTGGTCCAGTCAGTTAAGCGTCCGACTCTTGATTTTGATTCAGGTCATGATCTCACGGTTCATGAATTCGGGCCCCACAGCGGGCTCCACACCATCAGTGCTTGAATTCATTCTCTCTCTCTCTCTCTCTCTGCTCCTGCCCTGCTTGTGCTCTCCTTCTCTCTCTCTCTCAAAATAAATAAACTTTAAGGAAAAAATAAATAAATGAGCTATTTCCTAAAAACCTTTCTCAATGTAAGCTAGGCACTATGAATATTAAGGGAATTACCTAACATAAGGCTTGCTGTTGATGAATTGATCATTAAAATTAGGCAAAGCCTGTGCAGTCGACCAAAGGTGCCATAAAATATCAATGTAATTACTGAAGTGCTCTGCGTACAGGACACGGCACATTTCAGTACCTACTGAGACAAAACACGTACAATGGTTAAAAAGATCAAAGTTAAGTATTTCAAGGGAAGTCACCATTTTTAGAAGTCACAATGTTGTATGTGATTTTTGTCAAGGAAGCAGTAGTGACTGGTGTTTTCTGTTATCGTTATTATTATTAACCGTTTTCTTAAAATTGACTCTTTTTTCCTTAGCTTTACCCTATGCAATCTCCTAGATATCACAAGTTTGGTAATGCATTCTACTTTTTCCTAATACACATTAAAATGAATCATGGGAGGGGTGACTGGGTGGTTCAGTCAGTTAAGCATCTGACTTCGGCTCATGTCATGATCTCACGGTTCGTGGGTTTGAGCCCTGCACTGGGCTCTGTGCTGACAGCTCAGAGCCTGAAGCCTGCTTCGGATTCTGTGTCTCCCTCTCTCTTTTTGTCATTGTCTCTCTCTCTCTGCCCCTCGCCCACTGGCACTCTGTGTCTTTCTCAAAAATAAACATTAAAAAAGATTTTTTAGTGAGTAGTGGGAAATAGTAATATCCACTAAAACTGCCATGGATTCAGTGTAGGGAGGAGTCACTGTGAGCTGGAAACCTTGGGGAAGAGGAATGAGATCGGGGTCTAGGAGGCCCTGATTAATTTGAATGGAAAGGATGTGCTAAGAACATCTAAGGAAACGATTCTTGAAAGGTTCTAAGAGAAAGAGCCCTTTAAAGAAAGTTAATCTGACGCATGTGAGGGGCAATGAAAAGGTGGTGAAAGGAAAAAGCATCACCAATGACGCACCGGTAAGGCTAATGGGCAAGTCCGTAAGGTGGAAACAGACTCCCAAATTAGAATCGTCTAGAAGGAGTACAGAGAAAGCAAAAGAAAGAGGGGCCGGGAGAAGAGGAGAGAGAAGCTAGGGCAAGTGTGATGTTGGGGTGCACAGGAGGCCCCCAGGGAGGACGGACCTGACAGCCAGGGGACCGGACCCAGGGGCCCAGGCAGGGCCACACAGGCGCCCCACACTGGAGGAGGAGTGACCAACAGAGCAGAGACACCCAGAGGAGCAGAACCAGAGCCTGGAAGGATCAGCCCCGTCCCCTCACGGCAGCTCACCAATGTGCATAGAACTACCCCTAGGAAAGAATGTTACCTTATCTCCTTTCTCAGCTCATCTTCGGCAGCTTGGTTTTCTCCGGGGCAAATCTTTGCCCTGAACTTCCGGTAATTCTGTTCGCCTCCTTGCGGCCGTTCTTGGTGACATAACTGCTTTATTCGTGCCGCTAAAGACCGCATGGAAAAGGCCAGAGGCACGATTTTCTTATTGATTTTAACAGCTACATCGACCTGAGAGGCTGACGCATTCTGCACAGTCACCGACCCTTGGGGGGTGTCAGGATTAGGAGGAAGGCCATCTTTCTTAAAACGCTTTGTGCCTGGGGACGCATCTGCGGGCGGAGGCAAGACCCTACGTTTCCGTCCACCGTCCTCGCAGCTGGAACCTCGCTCCGGGTCCACAGGGTGACGGGCAGGTTCAGGCAGCTTCTCAGAAGACTTCGCGTCTCCCAGTGAAAACCTGTCTCCAGGAGGGCTGGCTGCACGGTCACCGCAGGACTGACCGCCCATTTCTGGGGGGCCGAGCCCCTCCCCTGGGCCGGCCGGAGTGCGGCTGTGCCCCGAGTCCTGCTCTGTCTCCACTCCGTCCCTGTGGTCCCCGGAGCCCCCATGTGAACGCGTCGTCTCCACGCCAGGGCCGCAGGAGTCTGTGTCCGAGCCGCGCTTCTGGAAGCCCAGGGAGTCTGAAGTGCCAGGACACTGCACGTGTCTCTTCTGTCGCGGGGAAATCCGTCTCGCTTCGGTGGTCTTGGGGTGTGGAGACTCGGTCTGTGTCGTGTGCCGAAGAGAAAAGGTCTCTCTCAGTCTGGAAATGGTCACTGCCCTCTTTGCCTCTCCTCCAGTCCGTAACGAAGCAGGGTCATCCTGTTCTTCTGGCACGGGCTTGTCCACCTCTGCTGAAGGCTTTTTTATCAAGTTACCTGAGTAGGTATGAGCAGGGGAGAGTATCAGGGGCTACACTGAAGTGGAATCAGAGGGTATTTCTAGGGGTGCCTGGGTTGCTCAGTCAGTTAAGCGTCTGACTTTGGCTCAGGTCGTGATCTCGCAGTCCGTGGGTTCGAGCCCCGTGTCGGGCTCTGTGCTGACAGCTCAGAGCCTGGAACCTGCTTCGGATTTTGTGTCTCCCTCTGTCTCTGACCCTCCCTCACTCATGCTCTGTCTCTTTCTTTCTCTCCCTGTCAAAAATAAACATTTAAAAAAATCTTTAAAAAGAGGGCATTTCTACAAAAGTAGGGATCCAGAGATGGCTAACTGAGCATATGAAAAGGGACACACAAATTGAAACCACAGTTTGATTTGCTACCACATGCTCACCAGGATGGGTACAAATTCAAGAAACAACAAAAGTCCGCAGAGATGAGGATCAAAAGGAATGTGTAAATTCTGCTGGTGGTAGTGAAACCGGTACGGCCGCTTCGGAAAACCCTCTGGGAGTAGATCCTAAATCTGAACACAACGCAGGCCTGTGACCTGGCACCGTGCTCCTTGTAGACCCGAGCCCGCCACAGCCACAGACAGGGTGTCCGCGGCTGCTCTGGCTCTAACGACTCAACCATCCACAAATAAATCATGGCATTTAATAACTACAATGGAACGCCACACGGCAACGAGAACGGATGAATGAGTCACCGTATGACTTGGATGAATCCTACAAATGAGAGAAAGAAACAAATCTTTGCCAAAAAAAGCACAAATTAAAAGCAGATGTGGTGTCAGAAGTGAGGAATATGGTCACCCCTGGGGGTCGCTGGGAGCAGAAGGGTAGCAGGGTGCTCCTACGGCTCCTATGTCCTGACCTCAGGGCTGGTACACTTATGTTTGTTTCTGTTTTCAGTACAATCGCCAAGAGGGGGCACTGGTTCAGCTGTGCTTCAAGATGCACTGGTATTTTGAGCAGTTTCTCTTTCCAGGGTAGCATCCGGCAACGCGTGTGTGTGAGAGGGCTCGGCGATGCCAAGTAGCCCATTCCACAAACGTGTACATACACCTGAACGCCCTCCACTCCATCCCCATGCACACCCACACCCACAGTACCCCCTCGCCAAAGACGGCCAGGGCTGGGGGGCACCCACTGCATCCAAAGCGAAGCTCCACCACTCTACTGTCCGGATTTCTGTGCTCCTGTTTCACACTCCACCCCTCAGGACCTTCGCCTCTACCTCAGGCCCTGATTCTCAAAACCAGAGTCTGCCAGCTAGCTTCCAAATCGACCCCTCCCTACCCCTGCGGTGTTCAGAACGTTAGGACAGGGCTGCTCAGGATCCCAGTCCCTCCCCGAAGCCCCTCACAGCTCCTCCTCGCACCCTCAGCTCACAAAGCTCATCAGAGAACCTCTCCTCTCATTGGGAGCTACAGCCATCTGTCACCTTAGCTTTCGGCCAAACCTTAGTTTCAGCTTCCTCAGCAGCTCCGGTCTTCCCCCCTCTGAGGACACAATGATGGGCACCCACCATCTCTGCACATACAGACATGAGGATCAGGGCAGGCTGGTCAAGAGAAGAGAGTGTGTGACCCAAGGAGACCTGGCCATGGGGGTTGGGGGAGGGTATAACGGCCAACTCTTCCCTCTGCCCTCTTGGGCAGCTGGGGCTCAACGCCGGTCCCCCTCCCAGATGTTCCAGCTGCTCTCGGTTTGGATAAAAAAGATGACAACTACTTAAATGGCTGATCATGTGTGACCAGGCAGTAAAACAATGACTATACATATTATTACTATAGATCCTGAATCAGCTTTGTGGTGACGCTCATTCCCATGTGCCACTCCCACGTGCCATTTTCCCCCAGGGTGACGGGTGAGGGCCCTCAGGAATTCCCCACTCCGTAAAATAAATGAGGAAATGGGCAAAAATGGTAAGAATCAATTTTTTTCCAAACTCTGGAGATTAACAAAAGGCTGCAGTGATCGGGAGTGTTTATTAAAGAAAAACGGTTCATGGGGTGCCTGGATGGCTCAGTCAGTTAAGGGTCCAACTTCGGCTCAGGTCATGATCTCGCAGTTCATGGGTTCGAGCCCTGCGTCGGGCTCTGTGCTGAGAGCTCAGAGCCTGGAGCCTGTTTCGGATTCTGTGTCTCCCTCTCTCTCTGACCCTCCCCTGCTCATGCTGTCTCTCCCTCTCTCAGAAATAAATAAAACATAAAAAATTTTTTTTTAAATAAAGAAAAACAGTTGCATCTTGGTGAGCACACATCCCTTGTATATGCCAAATGTGCCTTCCACTTCTCTTGTTAACTCAATTTCCTTACATCTGCAGCTCTATACTGTCTAGTGTGACACATTCTCTCAGAGACTTTGGGGGCTCCTGGGTGGCTTGATTTCAGCTCAGATCATGATCTCATGGTTCGTGAGATTGAGCCCCACATTGGGCTTTGCACTATCATTGCAGATCCTGCTTGAGATTCCCTCTCTCTCTAAATAAGTAAGTAAACATTAAAAAAAAAAAAGGCAAGTATCACAACAGCCGTAGAAGCTGTCCATAAATCTGTATCTTTTTCTTACCTTCAATACCCAACAACGGCTGCTGACTGACATTAAGTTTGTTGACATTGCCATCAAACATTCCTATCAAGGATGTCTTTAAAACTGCCAACAGAAGCTTTTCCTCTTGTAGTAAAATTTGCCTTTTATCAGGAGTAACATTGACATCAACACATTCTAAAGCAAAAAAAAAAACAAAAAACTTATGTTTAAAATCACCTTTGGGGCACCCGGGTGGCTCAGTCGGTTAAACATCCGACTTCGGCTCAGGTCATGATCTCACAGTTCGTGGGTTCGAGTCCCATGTCGGGCTCTGTGCTGACAGCTAGCTCAGAACCTGGAGCCTGTTTCAGGTTCTGTGTCTCCCTCTCTCTCTGACCCTCCCCTGCTCACACTGTCTCTCTCACTCTCTCTCTCTCTGAAATAAAGGTTTAAAAAATTTTTATAAATAAATAAAATAAAATCACCTTTAACAGATATTTCCCCATCTATTTTACTCTCTTGCATGTACCAACAGTATTGTTAAAACACTGCAGTGTCCAGACTAATATTCATAAACTATGAAATCAGCGCTTTCAAAAAAAACAAGGAAAAGATGAACCATTTATTAAATGGATGGAATATGCAAATATTTGAATGGTTAATCTGCAAAAAAAATAAATAAAAGAAAGAAAGAGCAAATAAACACATGAAAACGTATGATAGAAGGCTGCATACCAAAACAGGGTTCTTCTACTATTGCCTACTGAATTTGGTTCAAAATGACACTACCCAGTACACTACTCTAGATGTGTAAATGAATATAGCACGATCCTAGTCATGGACATGCTAATTCTAGTTCTAGGAGTGTATCTTAAGGAAACTACCAATGATATATAGGTAACAATTCTATTATAAGGATAGTACGTAAATTTCTAAAAACTGAAGACAGCTAAATTAAAGCTAAACATTTTTTAAAAGTTTAAGATACATCTGTACCTTAGAATATAATGAATGCAGCTGTTAAAATCATGTTTCTGAATAACTTTTAGGATATGGAAGAAAAAAACCATTTATGTTGAAGGATAAAGAGCTCCATACAAACTTACCCTTTTCTCCCTACAAAGGATACAAGTAGGGAAAAATATATATATACATATCATTACCTATTTTCTTAAGATGTACACATATTTCTAAGGACCTAGGGAAAAATACTAGATAATAAACCAGAATTTTCCCAATCAGAAGAAAAATATGCGTTATTTTTAAAATTAGGGAGACCATTTGGTTTGCTTTCTCCCTTATGTGCCATGAAAAAATTTTTCTAATAATACCATTAGCCTGGTCTCAAGCAGAAAGCAAGCCTGTATAAAAAAAAATAAATGTCTATAAAATATAATTAAAAGTCTGTAGGAAAAAAATATATAACACCATTAACTGTTAGCACAAAAATTTCTTTCTGGTCATATCATATAAAGACTTTATGATTTCATTTTTTATTTTAGGGGTAAGTCACCAATGTGACAGAAAGCTCAGTGGAGCTTACCTGAATCAACAGAAATGTTAAGAACAACAAATGGATACTGATGTCGATTATACATATGATAGACCTCGTTCACAAGTCTGGAAACCTACGTACGAAACAAAGGTTAAAATAAGAGACTCTTAAATACTGAGAACAAACTAAGGATTGATGGGGTGGGGGAGAGGGAAAGGGGGTGATGGGCATGGAGAAGGACACTTGTTGGGATGAGCACTGGGTGTTATATTGAAACCAACTTGACAATAAACTATAAAAATAAAAACAAAAAGAAAGGTAAAAAAAGAACAAACATTCCTGTCTGTCCCCCAACAGGCTGTTCTAATCAGCCACTACAGGGTTATATTTTAACAAATTTACTGAAGTAGAGTGGTCCTGCAATAAACTACACGTATTTTACAGTATGAGGGGCACCTGGGTGGCTCAGTTGGTTAAGTGTCCGACTTTGGCTCAGGTAATGATCTCACAGTTCGTGAGTTCAAGCCCTGCATCATCAGGCTCACTGCTGTCAGCATGGAGCCCACTTCAGATCCTCTCTTTCCCTCTCTGTCTGCCCCTCCCCCACCTGCATGCACACGCTCTTCCTCTCTTTCTTTCAAAAATAAATAAACATTAAAAAAAATGTTTAAAAACATGAACTATACAGTTTGCTAAGTTTATAATCAAGATCAGTTAAGATTATAATCAAGACAATCAATATATCTATCCATTGCCCAAAAAAGTTTCCTTGTGCCGCTGAAAGGGACATTTTTAATCATCAATCCCTAAACCTGAATCTTTTTCCAATCCAAAGCTGCGTTTGAAGAAATGTCAAAAGATGCAGGTGCAGCCTATTTACTTATCTATTTATTGTGTTATGTTAACTCCAGGGCCAACATGCTGCAGGTGCAGTTTAAATGGTCATTAGACACATCCTGATGTACATAGAAATGTATTTACGTCACCTTATAATGCAATTGGTAAAACTTGTGGAGATAAACTATAAAACCGTACCATGCACAATAGTGAACCATATCTGACAGAAGTCATTTTCAAGTACAAGAAAACATATCTATGACTGATGTACAATATTGCTGAAAATGCAAAATCAAAACTGAACCATTAAAACCCTATCAAGATGACCAGTCTAGGGGCGCCTGAGTGGCTCTGTCGGTTGAGCATCTGACTCTTGATTTTGGCTCAGGTCATGATCCCAGAGATGTGGGATTGAGCCCCGCATCAGGCTCTGTGCTGACAAGTGCTGAGCCTGCTTGGGATTCTCTCTTTCTCTTTCTCTCTCTCTCTCTCCACCCCCCCCCCCTTAGTCCCTCCCCTGTTTGTGCTCTCTGTTTCTCTCAAACCAAAAAAGAACCTTAAAAACAAAGTACCTTTGCTGGGTCACAAGGCCGCCGATTGATAAAGAAAAACTGTCTGTCTGTTGAACTTCTTCCAACACCATGAGCACAGTGGGAAATGAAACCAGAGATGCTGTTCAATGTTCACATGGGAAGGGCAGGATTCCAGAATGAAAAGAGTGAATAACACATCAGAGGGGATGTTCATAAAATAAAAACAAAATAAAAATACAACACCTGGTGACATGCTGATGAGTATTAACATTTCAGTTAACATGTGTCTGTGTTCCATTCTGATAAATCATAAAAAGGACACAGACCTTCTGGAACGTTCTATAGCTCTTATAGTCAACAAATCCACCATAGGCAATGCAGTGAATTCAATACATACTGGCTTCAGCTCTTTTCTCACTTGTCCTATTAAATTCTTGGCCTCCACGCAAGAAGGGAGTCTCACCCCAAACTCACATTCTAGAATCTTCACGCTGTCCCAACCGGCTGCTCAGGAAGCCCAACTACTTGTATTCAGGATTTCTCCACACTCCCTGCTCTTTTAAAATCTATTCTCTTTGGGGCGCCTGGGTGGCTCAGTGGGTTAAGCGTCTGACTCTTGATTTCAGCTCAAGATCTCATGGTTAATGAATTTAAGCGTGGAGCCTACTTGAGATTCAATCTCTTCCCCTCTCTCTCTGCCCCTTCCCCACTCACTCTCTCTAAATAAACTTAAAAAAAAATTTTTTTTAGTTAAAAAAAAAAAAATAAAATCTGTTTTCCATCAGCAAAGTTCTATCTCCTAAGGTATTGTTAAAGAGCTTCCTCAGGGGCGCCTGGGTAGCTCAGTCAGTTGAGCATCTGGCTCTTGATTTTGGCTCAGGTCATGATCCCAGGGTTGTGGGACGGAGCCCTGAGTCAGGCTCTGCACTGGTGCACTGCGCTCTCTGCCTCTGCCCCTGACCCCAACTCGCACACACATGTGCTCTCCCTCACTTTCTCTCTCTAAACTTAAAAATAAAAATTAAGTGCTCCCTCTGCCTGCGATCCAGCCAAAGAAATCTGCACTTCTGTAAGAACCGTAGGCTCACAAAAGAAATGAATCCCTGCATGTGAGCCAGAGGCAAGTAGAGAGAGAGAGAGAGAGAGAGAGCAAACATGGGCTGCCAAAGGGCCAGTCCCAAGTAGGGAAGTGCCAATGTTTGTTATGCTAAAAGTAGTGATGATGGACAAGACGTTGGGTAAGGCATGAATGAAAGGAAACAGCCTGTTACCCTCTGCCAAATCCCCGTAAAGCAAAACATATACATAAGTTAAAAGTTATTTTAACTTGTCACTAAATAGAGACTTCACTACAAAGACTTCAATAGGAAATGAACTGGAACCAAAGAATTCAATAGGAAATCCCCTAAAGTGCACCAGGGACCCAGAATATTGAACGAATTAAGTAACGTACCCCTTTACAGAAATCTTCTTTCTCAGCAATAATAATTGCCTATAACTTTATAACAAACGTAAAAACTACAAGCCTTAAAATCATGATCTTTAAAAACAAAAGACTCCAGGGGGCCCTGGGTGGCTCAGTCGGTTGAGCGTTCCGACCCTTGATTTTGGCTCAGGTCATGATCTCACGGGTTCGTGAATTCGAGTCCTGTACTGTCAGCACAGAGCCTGCTTGGGATTCTCTCTCTCCCTTTCTTTCTGCCCCTCCCCTGCTTGTGCTCTCTCTCTCTCAAAATAAATAAAAATAAAAACACACACACAAATAAATACATACATACGTAAATACAAAAAGCCCCAGATAAAACGTTCGATTGGAGCTTTCCTGGCAGCAATCCACTCACCGAAACAGAGCATGGGGAGCATCACCAGGCTGCAGCCCGTACTCTTCACACACGGAGTCACTAGGGGGCAGCTGAACAAAAGGAATGAGGCTTTGCAGCTAAAAAAAAACAAGACTCACAGTTAATTCCTAACAAAAATAGGATGAACCTAATTTCAGAAAGGGAAGGATTTGTGTGTTTGCTTTTCTTGGTCAGGCCATTCAAGTGAGCACACAGAGAATCTCGTCAGCTGATTCTAGAGGCTATCACAATTTTGGTTTTTTTATTAGAAGGATGGACTACTTGGGCACATACTTATCCATAATCAATACACTGCTCACACCACACTTTTTCAGATGGAGAGTAAAGGGAGTGTTTTATTCTCTGGAAGAATAAAATAAAAAAATCTTTCAGCTCTCAACATTAATTCTTGTGGCAAGTACCTAATTAAGAAATTAATTACTGGGGGCGCCTGGCTGGTGGTAGAGCAATCGACTCTTGATCTTGGGGTTTTAAGTTTGAGCCCCATGTTGGGTACAGAGGTTACTTAAAAATAAAAAATCTTTAGGGGTGCCTGGGTGGCTCAGTTGGTTAAGCGTCCCACTGGATTTCAACTCAGGTCATGATCTCATAGTCGTGGGATTGAGCCCCATGTCAGGCTCAGTGCTGAATGTAGAGCCTGCTTAAGATTCTCTCTCTCTCTACCTCTGCTCCCCCCAAATCTATCTCTTTTTAGTAAAAAAAAATAAAATAAATGAAAAATAAAATAAAAATCTTAAAAAAAAAACAATTTATTGGATTTTCTTCTCTCTTCTTTGGAAAGGACGATGGAAATCTGACATAATTACTAGAGCAATAAAATGTTTTTTAAATAACTGGCCACCCCTACCTGTTTCTGGCCAAATACAGATCCAATGTTTTCCTTTATACTGGAGCTTCCGCTTGTGCAAACCACAGGCTGGCGTTTTCCTTGTCCAACCTGATTGGTGCAACTTACTCGGACGCCTGCTGCAATGATACAGTACGCGTGTAACACCTGGACCATTCTGGCATACTCCTGTTTGAAAAACACAAATGCAAGACTCCACGTTATTTTAATCCTACAAGAACTACATGGTGCAAGTTTAAACATCTGACTCAAAATTCTCATGTCAGCGCACAAAGAAGGCAAATTATTCCTGAGAGAATGAGCCGTGAATACTTTATATGTGTTTGCCTTTGTATACCACACATACCTTCATACTCAGTACAACAGAGAGCTACATTCCTAACCACACTTCTCTCGTGTCCACAAGGTGCGTGCCCACTGCTATAAAAATTGAAAAGTGCATTCCCTTGGACCTTGTAATCCTTCCTTTAGAAATTCATCCTTGTAAAATGACTGGCATAAAGATATATTACAAAAATGTTCACTGAAACAATCTGTAGTTGTGAAAAAAAAACTTTTTTAAAAGTTATTTGATCAGATGGTGAGTCAATTAGGTCAAACACTTTTTAATTAAAAAAATGTTTTTATGGGGGCACCTGGGTGGTTCAGTCGGTTAAGCATCCGACTTCGGCTCAGGTCATGATCTCACGTTCGTCGGTTTGGGCCCCGCATCAGGCTCTGTGCTGACAATCAGCTCAGAGCCCGGAGCCTGTTTCGGATTCTGTATCTCCCTCTCTCTCTGACCCTCCCCTGCTCATCCTTGCTCTCTCGCTCCCTTTCTCTCTCTCTCTCTCAGAAATAAAAATTTTAAAAAAATGTTTTTATGTTTATTTTTTGAGAGAGAGAGAGAGAGAGGGAGGGGAAAGAGAGAATGTCAGGCAGGCTCTACATCTTTAGTACAGAGCCTGATGCGGAGCTCAAACTCACAAACTTTGAGATCATGACCTGAGCTGAAATCAAAAGTCCAACATTTAACCAACTGAGCCACCCAGGTAGGTGCCCCTGTAATTGTGAAAAATGAAAAAGAATCTAAGCCACCATCAACAAGGAGCTAATAAATTATGGAATATTCATATAATGGCAGAATGATAAAGAATAAAGTAATGAGTCAGCCAAAAGATTCCTACAATCAAAAATGATACCTATGATATATTATAGAAATGGTCAACTCATATAACAGTACATATAACTCGATACTAATTGTTAAGAAAAAAGTTGAAACATATGCATAAAAAATTAATAAGTAAATAAAAACCTTTAAAAAGAAAATCAATGATTGGATTTTATTCTCCATTCTTTGGAATAAAGGTTCTATACACCTGTATATCAGTCTACACCAAACTCTGGGAGGTAGGCTGAGATCATCTCAACTTTCTACTACATACGATCCTATATTACTTAAATTTTCTATTCTGTATTGTTTCATTCACTATATTAATTTATCTATCTTGAAATGTTTTTTCTCAAGATTTATAAATACATGAAACTCAAAGGAGCCTGGAAACACACACATCACACTGTTAACGACAGTCTTTTCTGGCAAGTAGAAACTCTTTATTCCTATATTTTTTGAGGCACTGATTTTTTATCATGAGATACAAAAAAATTAATAACATTTTTCTATACAAAAAATATTTTTATTTTTTGTTTGGTTTTAATTTTTTTTAATGTTTATTTTTGAGAGAGAGAGAGACATGTAGCATGAGTAGGGGAAGAGCAGAGAGAGGGAGACACAGAATCAGAATCGGAAGCAGGCTCCAGGCTCTGAGCTGTCACCACAGAGCCCAAGGCGGGGCTCAAATCATGAACTACGTGATGATGACCTGAGCCAAAGTCGGATGCCTAACCGACGGAGCCACCCAGGTGCCCCTACAACTGCTTTTTAAGCACAATTATATATTTAATTATTTCATTTCCATTCAAATTCATAAAAGTTGTAATACTTCATTTTTCAGGAAACCAAGAAAAACATCTTATTAAAAACAACAGATAGAATAAAAAAATGTTACTTCTTAAAGAACTCATTCTGATGTCAGAACACCTAATAAATAGGATTTGATGATTTCCATCTTTTTAAGAAAAAAAAAAAAGGATAAATCAACCTCAAGTTCAGTCTTTGGTTGGGAAAAGGTAAACTAGGCACGTCCCAAAAATTTCAGGGAGGAGAACCATCTGAAGAGTTAACCTCAGTGTACCTTAGCGAGGGAGATCTTTCACTATGCAGGTACATCGCACTATTGATGCTCTCAGAAGCTGGGGTTCTGAATTTATGTATTTTTCTTTTTTTAACATTTATCTATTTTTGAGAGAAAGAGAGAGCGTGAACAGGGGAGGGTCAGAGAGAGAGGGAGACACAGAATCCGAAGCAGGCTCCAGGCTCTCAGCTGTCAGCACAGAGCCTGATGCGGGGCTTGACCTCATGAACCGCGAGATTATGACCTGAGCCCAAGTCAGACACTTAACCAATTGAGCCATCCAGATGCCCCTAACATACCTTTTTAATATTCCTTTGAAACTCCTTATGGCGCACGGGAAGTGTATAAAAGAGCTGCTGCACACTGACAGTTGTCCCTCTGGGTCGTGGGTGGGGGGTTTTCTGGACAATTTTCCCATTGTGATCAAACACCAGTCGAGTCCCAACCTTTGCGGATGCGTGGCAGGTAGAAATAGTCACATCACTGTGAGAGAGAGCAGACGTGACGTGGTCAGACACTCACAGGTGCTGGATGTCACATGCTCATTCTGTCACTTCCTCTCCTGAAAAATGCTGATCTCTCTGAGATAATTGAGAAGGTTCTTATGGGTGAAGGGTCATCACAGAATCTAAGGCTTGGCGCCTATCAGTGAGACAGAGTTCTATAAATACTTTGTTTTGATGAAAGCTTTGATACTTTGTTTTTTGTTTGTTTGTTTGATTAAACTGCAAAATAGAAGGTCTCCAAGTTTACGTATTAGCGAATGAAGATTTATTTCCCAGTTTTATTCCTACTGTTTTAACAAAATTTTTAACAAGGATCCAAAAAATATTAGAGTTCCAGTGTAGAAGTAATTATGCATAAAAACTTAGAGTCTGTTATATATAATAAGTGTTTCAGTTAAAATTTTTCCTGCAGACTGAAATAAAGCAAAACTAACACATCTGTAATTATTATTATCTATCTACTGTTTTAAAATGGAGAAGTTACTGCTTTAATAAGAGTAATAATTCTTTTACAATGTTATTTCCTTCATTTCATTGCTTACATTTCAGAAATATCAGCACTTAGATGGGCAGTAAAATAAAATAGAATGTGGAAGTTGGAAGTTGAGACACTCAGGATGGAAAAGTATGAACAACGATTCTAACTCTACGTTTTTATTTTCAGAGAGATTTTTCTAAGGGGTCAAGTTAGTAGATAAAAATATTGTTATCACCTCAGCGCACAAAGTGAGCTCAGAGCTTCACCCCGGAAGCCAAAAGTTTCAACCTGAGTTAGGTCAGCAAAGTCTTGAATCTTAGAAGTGTGATGTTTCAGAGCTGAAAGAGAGGTGCACAGTAAGACACATGATGTTTCAAGTGACAGAACACTGAACATGTACCAAACCTACCAAAGCAACAGTTTTAAAAATCTGTTTTTGTGTTTCCTAAGACAGTGTTACTCAAAGTTTGGAAACATTTAGTTCGAATATTTAAAAATAGAACTAGAGGCACCAGGGTGGCTCAGTCAGTTAAGTATCTGACTCCAGCTCAGGTCATAATCTCACAGTTAGTGAGTCTGAGCCCCGCATAGGCCTCTGTGCTGACAGCTCAGAGCCTGGAGCCTGCTTCGGATTCTGTGTCTCCCTTTCTCTCTGCCCCTCCTCCGCTCGCACTCTGTGTGTGTGTGTGTCTCTCTCTCAAAAATAAATAAAACATTAAAACATTTTTAAAAAATAGGATTAGAAAAACTCAACTTACTTAAGCCTTCAAAGTTTTCTTCCTCTACCCCGCATCCATTGTCTGAAACTTCAATGAGATCCACCCCATAGTCTTTGAGCCTTAGATCTAAAAAGTTTAACATATTAATTTCTCAAAGAATTGATCCATGAAAAAGCCTTTATACTCATAGTATTTATTATAACTTACATAATGTAAACTTGAGTTATAACTATACTTACTTAAATGTACTACTGTCATTTTGTCTATTTCATTTTTTTAAAAAGGCCTTCTTGGCAATTGATTAACCTAGATAAAATAGTTTTTTCTTTCTTTCTTTTCTTCTTTTCTACCTTTCTTTCAAAATGATAACTTTAATAGAATCATTACAGAGAAAAGGCTCTGGAATCAGACTTCCTGGAATCACTTTCTCCTAACTTTGTGACCTCAAAGTAAATTCCCGTGCCTTCATTTTTTATCTATAAAACAGATATAATAATGATAATAATAACTCCTATCTCATCTGTTCTATAAAACGACTATAATAATAATAGTAATTACTATCTTGTAAGGTTATTCTGCAGACTAAAAATAGCCGTGTGGCACACATTAAGAACACAATAAAAGTTAACTGTTTTTATTATTATTATTACTACCTACCCAAGTATTAGGCACATAAAAGATGCTAAATTTAAGTTTAAAAAATAGTAATTTCTTAGTATGCCGACATTTGATTGTCTCATTACAATCACAAATGTTTCTTGAAAAATATAGTATAGTATAAACTGATTATTTCCCATGGCTTAAAACTCTCCCAAACTTACCAATATTAGTGGCACCGGCATCCACACTATTTTCTACCAACTCCTTCACGGCAGTACTTAGACTCAGTACTACCTGTCCAGAACAAATCTGATGGACTGACCTCCGATCGATAGGTTTGATGGCCTTAGCAAGTTCTGTACTAAAAACAAGAGTTACAAGAAACAAAGCAAGTGTGCATTTATGTATTTTCATTCTGGTTTTAACTGTGGGAAATGATTCATCTCTGTCAAAAGTCAATTATCTACCATGTTCATTATATTAACTATTGATCATATTCATAAATATAACTGTTATTCTATGATCCTTACATACCTGTCAAAAAACCTGAATAGATACTTCAAATGTAATGGGTATTTAGAAATTTTATTACACTAGGATCTATATGGAGGAGACACATGTACCCCTCAACCTAGAAGTCAATAATCTTTGGCAACAATGGGACTTTCTTCTGAAAAGTGAACACTTTTTACTTCTTACACGATTTGAAAAACCCACAAGTATAGTGGGAAATACACAGCATTTACATCAAAATCAAAACCATCTTAGAAACTGGGTACTGGTTCTATAACTATTCCCAAACAAGCCTTTGAATCTCCACTCTCAATCCAGGCTGCCTGCTGCTGCCTTAGCAAAGATGCCCCAAAGTTCTTGCTGTACCTACTTTAAGCGTTTCCAAACCAATTTGTTTCCATTTTCTCCCTACTCCAATCCCCCTTCCATGATACCATCAGTTACTTTAAAAATCAGGAATCTGGTCAAATAATTTCTCTGCTTAAAAATCTACTAGTGTTGGGGCATCTGGCTAACTGAGTCAGAGGAGCATGGGACTTCTGATCTTGGGGTCCTGGGTTCACGTACCACCTTGGGTGTACAGATTACTAAAATAAATAAATAATCTTTAGGAATTTTTTTTTTAATCTACTAGCATCCCACTGTCTCCTATTATTAAGTTTAAAATCTAGCCCTCACTGGACCGCAGTCTACTCTTCTCTCATTCTCTCCAATCCTCTCCCTTCACCAACTCCCCACTCCCCTACATTCTAGTAACAGCAAACTGTGTCCTGGATGTCACAAGCTCTTCTAGACACAGATACAAATCTTTGTCTAGACCACTCCCCTCTTCCTCCTTTGCCTGGCAAACTCCTGTCATCCCAAGAACGTATTCCTTATGTTCGTTAATTTAGCAAATTCTTAACCAGCTTAATTGATTATATATAAGTTCTGGTTCTGGGTATAATAGAACCCAGAAGCCTCCCTGGGAGAGAAATCTTTGGGTCTTCTCCCACAGCATCTAACACACGGAGGACCTCCAATAAACGCTCGTGAAATAAAGCAACAAACATCTTTACTCTTCCTTCCACCTTGTAAAAAAAAATTAAGCTCAGGTTTCTCTTAAATGTGAAAACTGCAGATGACAACATAAAATGGAAAGAAGGATCTCTAAAACTTATTTATTTGACAACACACCATAGGCTAACAACTCCACTTCCGATATTTATTTTGAGAACTGGGGATGAAACATTTAAACACAGACCGTGAATCTGAGTTCAGGAAGCTGCCACTGAATTCAACGGTGCTAAGCCGCAGATTCGCGCTTCGAACTGCATGCAATTTACTAGCCAGCGATGACAGATTCAAAGTGATAAAAAAAAAAAAAAGTTCTGCATTTTTAAAACCTGCGCGGCTATGCAAATTAGTATTTGCCTTGAAGCCTCCCCAAAATAACCTCAATTTTCAAAAACAGAAAAGAAACCAGGTAGAAAGGACACAAATTCAGGCTCCAGGGACTTCGCGCTCCAGCTTCCAGGCCACGGACGTGTGGCGGCGTCCAGAGTAGTCTGCCTGGGAACCGGCCGGATGCCCCCGCCGACCCCAAAGGGCGGCAGGGAGGGGAAGCGTCGAGGAGCCAGCTCCGGGGCTTCCGCGCAGGCTCGCCCAACGCTGCGTTCTCTTCCCACTCCATTCCAGGAGTCTGGAACGCCGTGGGCCTCAGGGAGGGCAACCGCGAGGGCACACTGCAAGCACCGCTCACCTCGACCCTTGGGCTACCTCCATGGATCCAGAACGCAACCCGCCCCCGGGACTCCAGACAGTTCCCGCCGCCGCCGCCGCCGCCGCCGCCGCCGCCGCTCTCACGGAGGCTCCGCCCCCAGCTGCCCATTGGCCATTTCCGACACTATGCCCCACCCCTTCCGGATGGGAGCGGAGGACGTTTCCCACACCTCCTTCTTGCTGACTGGTTGTGAAAAATGTCGAGGCCGTGACGTAAGAGGGCACGGCCCAATTAGACCTTACGGACTACGCTTTCCTGGAAGTCGGCTGCCGGATCAGAAAGGAGGTGGCCGAAGTTCGTTGTCGTCTCGGACGGTTTCTGAGCCTTCGTGTCCCTCACCTGCCACCTCTGTCCTTTGGCTCCCACGATGCCGATGTACCAGGTAAAGCCCTATCACGAGGGCAGCGGATCTCTCCGCGTAGAGCTTCCCACCTGCATGTACCGGCTCCCCAACGTGCACGGCAGGACCGGCAGCCCCGCGCGGGACTCAGGCCACGTGCAGGTAGGAGTGCGAGTCCCTGCACTGCCCCGCCCCCACCCGCCCAGTGCGTACAATTTCCATCTCTTTGCAGTGCGCAAGCGCGAAGTTATATTCGCGCGTCTTCCACCTAGTGCGCAGGCGCCGTTGTCTAGGTTAAGGGGTGGTGAGGGTCTGAGGGCCGGGGTCTCCTCCCGCTCCAGCCCGGAGATCCGGCTTGGCTCGGACAAGCCGCAGTGGGCCACGGTGGAAGCCCGGCTTCACGCTCCCGCCAGTTCTCCGTAGCCGCTTTTGTCTTAAAAATTCTCTTGCATTCATTTTTTTTTCCCCCGCTTACGGCTGCTTGAGGTTTTTTTGTTACCAAATTTTGGCCTCAGAAAAATGAGGAGCACGAAAATGTTAATTTTGGGGACTCCTAAGGCGAACCCCAGTGTCCCCGCCTCCCAGGTTGACAGACGTTGTCAACACCCCGAGAGCCCGACTTCCGCGGTCAGTACGCCCAACGTCCGAGTCCCCCCCTAGCCGCTGCGTCGCTATCGCGCCGCCTCCTGTAGGCCTGGCTCCCGGGATCGCGGGCAGCGGGGTCTGCAGTGGTGCGCGCCCGGCCTGGGGCACGCACGCACGCACTGGGGGCTGGGCCGCCTGCACCTGCCCCAGGTGCGCCACCTCCCTAAGCGGCGTGTGCGCCCTGGCCGTGCGCACGGAGCTCCTGGCGCCGGCACCCTCCCCAGAGCTGGAGGGTGGACCGTGGGAGCCTGGTGGCCTTTTAGTTCGGGTTTTCCAGATTTCTAGATCAGTGGAGCGCCATTTCCTGTGGGCTGGCCGTTGTGGTGGTCTCTTGCAAAGCGTCTGCACAAGCCTTTCGGGGTTTTTTTTTTGGGGGGGGGGAGGGGGTTTGTCTTTTATGGTCTGCCAATAATACACTTCTTAGGTTTCCAACAGGAGGAATTTGCGGTCCATTCTGACTGAAGATGAGTGAACAAGTAACTTTTGTAGTCCGTTCTCCCAGGGAGTGTTAGGCTTCACTGTGTTTTAATAGCCTCTGCCTAGATTGGAAGGCAGGTGGTTGGGTTAGCTGGAAAAGGGCGACACAGCTGTTGTCCCACTAGGGAGGTAGGACAGAAATAGCACTGTGACCCACTGCCCCCTGCTGCACACTGGATAGTCGGAGGGAATGGAAAACAAAACCCAGACCCAGAGTTGGGAGTGTTACTGTCTCATTTGAGACCAAGTCATTTTTATTATTTATTTATTTATTTATTTGGTGTGCCTCAGACTTTTACCTGTTAACCTCTGAGTTAGAAGCCAGCCAGTCCACTTCTTTAGCACACCACAGCAGTGTAGACAGAATTCGAAATGAAGCATGTCCAAGGTAAACGCGAGCAACACAAAGAATAAACTGCTTCTAAAATAACATGTAGAATGAAATGGATAAACACAACGTGCCAAGTCACAGGCTAATCTGAGCAGGAAAACAAGCCAACAGACCAGCAAACAGTACAGGTAAAGGCAGATCGTGAGCACTTCCTCATTCCTCACCCCAGGATGGGTGAAATCAAGCTGAGTGGGGCGCCCGGTCACCGGCCGTGGTACGTGTGCAGACTTCAGTGTGTTGACTGGCATGACGAACCCAGTAGGTGCTTCTGGGCCCTGGCTGGTCAGGGACACCCTACTGCCATTTGTAGAAATGAGCAAGATTGTGCACACACAGTGCACAAATAAGGCTGGTTAAAAGAAACTGCAAGAGTACTCGAGGACTGTCGTTGAAGAACATAAGGACGTTACACAGTAGTTTCTGTGCCTATCACACATCTTGCATTCAGACTTTTCCGGTCAGCACCTAATTACTTAATTGGCACACTGAAGTCTTTTTTCCTCCACCCGCAAAAGTCAGTTAATCTTACGTTACTTTGCTGTTTGATCCTAAACCAGAGTGGCAGGCTAGGGGAGGTGAGAAAGTGCAGATTCAGCTCTAGGAGAAGAGGGAGGAGTGTCGCAGATAGAGTGAACAGAATAAATAAAAGTCCAGTGGCAGGTGGGGATATGGTGTGTTTTAGGGACCCGGAGGGCAGGATAGGTAAAGTGCAGCGCCAGGGAAAGTGATACGTGAGAGGAAGTAGCCAGAGGACAAGTCATACAAGCTATTTCTTTTTGTTTGTTTGTTTTAATGTTTAATTTTGAGGGGGGGGGGGGACAGAGGTTCCGAAGCAGGCTCTGTGCTGACAGCAGCAAGGCTGGAGCAGGGCTCGAACTCCTGAACTGTGACATCACATTCTGAGCCTGAGTCAGATGCGTAACTGACTGAGCCACCAAGGTGCCCCTAACAAGCTATATCTTAAGGGCTTTGCTTTTTAGGCAAAGAGCCTAAGAGGTTAATATGGAGGTGGGGTGACGGGATCAACATTTGTTTTAATCTCTCTGGCTGCCATCTTAGGGATGGATTGGAAAGGTGACCACAATGGCCACAAGGTGACCAGTGGAAGCAGGCCAAGCAAAAAGTAATGTCTTGAACTTGGGCAGTGACAGCTGAGGCAAGCTTAGAAGCCAGTGGATTCCAGAAAACGGACAGCACTTGTAGATGAACTGGATCTGTGAGAGGGCAGTGTTATTTATAAGTGTGTGAGAGGAAGAAAAGTTCCTTAGAACATCAGGCTTACCAGCTCACAAATACAGCCCTTGTGAGTGCACATTTACAGTCAAGTCAAGGTCACTGCCATATTGACTATTCTGCCTAGTTACAAGCATTTTCTTCTTGCTTAATATACTCCTCTCTCGGCTCAAAATGGGTTATCCATTATGAGAGCTAATGAGTGTAGAAATAGGTTGTACTATATGACCTATATGACTTTATTGAGAGGATTGTTAGTGCTTTTTTTTTTTTTTTTAACGTTTCTTTATTATCGAGAGATGGAGACACAGAGCATGAGCAGGTGAGGAGCAGAGAAAGGGGGAGACACAGAATCTGAAGCAGGCTCCAGGCTCAGAGCCATCAGCACAGAGCCTGATGCCGGCCTCAAACCCACAAACCATGAGTTCATGACCTGAGCCGAAGTCGGATGCTTAACTGACTGAGCCGCCCAGGCGCCCTTGTTAGTGCTTAAAGTAAGCCTGTAGAGGTGTGAGATTTATTCCACAGTAGATGTTACTGGTTACTCACTGTGTCGCAATGACTATACCAGGCAAGAAAAATGCAGCAATTCAGTGAGTGAAGCATGTTTCCCAGAGCGGGAAAACGCTCTGGATGATTCTGAGAGAGTGCCAGTACTGCCTTGAGAGTGATGTGGGGAATTGATCATCTGACTCCACGGACATACCTTTCCAAGCCAAATGACACTTTGTGTTCAGCCTGTTTCTGCTCCATTTTCCCTCCTATTTGTAGAAATTTCTAAGTTACATTCTCATTGCACCCCCCACCCCCGCCGTTTTGTTTTTGTTTAAGCAAAGTATTTTGAACTTCTCTGCTACTAAGAATAAAGAGCAAGATTTATGTTCATTCATCCTCCTCTGTTCTTCAGTTACCTGAAGTAGGGGTCCTATGATTTCAGAATGGCTTTCAGTCATATTCCATATTTGTTTTAAAGCATTTGTGGATCGACTTGTAGGACCTATTGGACTGTGGGGAAAACGAGATGGTTCTGCTTCTTCATTTTGATGTCTTTTTGGGGTGGGGGTGATGAATTCAGGTTACTCAGCAGAAGACAAAAGATCAAATGCAAACGCTGCTGTCCCGTTAGAGGCAATGAACATGTTGATGTTGGTTGGTTTAGGAAGAGTCCGACCCATCTCTTCGAGCCCTCGAGTCCCGCCAAGATGATATTTTAAAACGTCTGTATGAGTTGAAAGCTGCAGTCGATGGCCTCTCGAAGATGATTCAGACACCAGATGCAGACGTGGATGTAACCAACATAATCCAAGCGGATGAACCCGCTTTCTCGACCAGCGCGTTGGACTTAAACTCGGTGCTTGGAAAGGTAAGTTCACCTGCAGAGCTAAAGAAGTTCTTTACATCCGTGCACTTAGCGGCCCTGAGTGCCGGAAAATTGTGCTTTGATTCAAGCGTTGGTTTTCTAGTTCTCAGAGTTGGGTACAAAGACCATGTTCTTTGTTTCCTCCCCTAAACGATTGTGCCTGTGCACAAACAAGATTCATGAGCTGTGAGCAAAGCCAGAGCAAAGGGAGAAGAGCTGGGACCATCCTTAGGCAAGGAAAGGAGTCCAGTCACAGCTCCCGCCGCTCCAGGCAACGTGTGACGCAGGCCAGAGGTGGCTGTCATTCCACAGCCTCCGAGCCTGGAGAAACAGACCTTAGGTCAGCTCAGCATTTCTCAGGTTCAGCAAATCCGTCCTGACCATGAGAGCAGCCCAAACTTCAGAGCATTGGTTGCCCAGGCACAGCCTCACATGTCAAGCGTCTTTTGCGACATTCAGTTTGCCATCTGAGAATGAAGTTGCATCTACCACCTTTAGTGATCAGTCTGCAGGCTTTAGCTAGTTCAGGTGACAGTCCGATACGCAGAGAAAGGTCTCATTTCAAAGTGGTATTTATTGAGGGTCCAAAGGGTTTGTCCCAAGAAACTCTGCTAATCCCGTCCTCTGGAATCGGTGGTAGAAGTGGAGCTACTGGGGAAGCCCAAACAGGGGGAGGCGGGGGTGCGGCATGTCCCCAGTGACCTCGGAGCCTCTGCACTCAGGTTCTCTCCTCATCCGCTGTGCCTGCCTGCACCAAGGACCCAGAGACCCAGCCAGGCCCGCAGGGAGCCAGTCTGATTGATGAGTGGGTGATCACGCCCAGCCGTGCCAGGGTGCCAGGAAGGCTTCCCAGGGCATGCGGTGCTTCATATGGATGCTGCTACCTGACAAGGCAGAGCATCTAGTGCTGCTCTGTTCAGACAGTTGCCACCTGTTCATCACAGGTTGATGTGACAGGCTTTAGTCAGGAGTGGCAGGACTCTTAGGCAGACTGTGACAGGCTGTGTACAGAAAACCAAGGAACTGGCCTCCAGAGTATTATGAGAGTTCATTCATTATAACGTGGGGCACCTAGGTGGCTCACTGGGTTGACAGTGCAACTTTTGAGTTTGGCTCAGGTCATGGGTTCGTGGGTTCAGGCCCTGCTTTGGGCTCTGTGTGCTTTGGGCTGAGTGTGGAGCCTGCTTAAGATTATCTCTGTCCCTATGCCCCTCTCCCACTTGCACCCACTGTCTCTAAAATAAAAAAAAAGGAGGGAGGGGCGCCTGGGTGGCTCAGTTGGTTAAGCTTCTAACTTGATTTTGGCTCAGGTCATGAACTCACAATCATGAGATCGAGCTCCGTTTCAGTCTCCAAGGCACTAGGTGTGGGCCTGCTTGGGATTTCTTCTCCCTGTCTCTGCCCCTCCTGAGTACATGTGCCCATTCTCTCTCTCTCTCAAAAATAAAAATAAAGTGACCGTATAAAGTTTGCATCTAAAAGGGCAGGACATTTTAGCACTTCCGTTAATACCTAGTGTTTTAGACTGCCCACTTGCCATCACCAGTAACATTTGGAGCCAGGGTCCCTTTTTTTAGGGGACTTGCTATTGACACGTAACCTACATACAAATTGATGTAGAAACTATCCTGTCAGATGGTCTGGTGTTGAAAAGATTTGGTAACATGGAGTAGTTGCGTGTGTGTGTGTGTGTGTGTGTGTGTTTAATAACAGGAACAAACAGTAGTGTCTTTTTTTTTTTAAATGTATACATATATATTTTTAAATGTTTTATTTATTTCTAGGAGAGAGAAAGACAGCGTGAGCAGGGGAGGGTCGGAGAGAGAGGGAGTCACAGACTCTGAAACAGGCTCCAGGCTCTGAGCTGGCAGTCAGCACAGAGCCCGATGCGGGGCTCGAACCCACGAACCGCAAGATCATGACCTAAGCTGAAGTCGGACGCTTAACCAACTAAGCCACCCAGGCGCCCCAATGTATATTTATTTTGAAAGAGCGCACGCACGAGCAGGATAGGCAGAGAGAGGGAATCCCAAGCAGGCTCTGCACTGATGTGGGACTCATTCCCACCAACTGCAATAGCGTTAGTGATGTCATTGTTAATGTGTCGTTTACTAATTTCACAGTGAGGTTAAACCTTTGTCGGGGACCAGCAGGGCGGAGGTTAAGGGGCTAGAATCGGTTCCCACCCCTGCCCCCTTTCTTACCACGCTGTGGGCCTGGGCGGCTCATCTACCTCCCGGGACTAGCTTCCTTCCCTGTGAGGTGGGAGTCAGGATTCAGTTCAGGAACCCTGGTGAGGCCCTAAGACCAGCACCTGGTACAATCGCATACACTCAAGCTGCTGTTAATGTTGCCGTGTTTGGGTTTCCCCCGCAGGATTATGGGGCGCTGAAAGACATCGTGATCAACGCAAACCCTGCCTCCCCTCCCCTCTCCCTGCTCGTGCTGCACAGGCTGCTGTGTGACCACTACAGGGTTCTTTCCACCGTTCACACGCACTCTGCGGTCAAGAGCGTGCCAGAAAATCTCCTCAGGTGCTTTGGCGACCAGACCAAGAAACAGCCCCGTCACGAGTATCAGCTGGGTTTTACTCTAATTTGGAAGAATGGTAAGCAGAGGGCCCTGGGCTGGGCTCTCACGCTCTGGAAAGAGCCGTGCACCTTGCCTTTCATAAAGGGCCAGGACCATGACGTTCTCTAGCTACTTGCCGTCAGGTCAAATTCTAAGTCTAGGAAGCGTGTCAGGTAGTTGTAGAAAAGGAGCACAGATGAACCTAATGCAAAGATGCCCGCCTTCCTCTAGGAGGTCAGCGTCTCTGACAGAGAGCCACTTGGGGGACTGACCAGCTGGAGCAGGAGAGAAACGTATTACAGGGACATCGATGTTCTCTTTTCAAATGGCCTGAAAAGGGCAACAGGTTGTCCTTTCTTCAGCATCCCTCTGATGTGTGCCTCTCCTGGTTGCGTTTACGTGGTGGGGGAGGGAATGCTGTTCATCCAGGAGCACCCTCGCTGCCTCAGCAACCCGGAAAGAGCCCTGGGACTCCTGGGACCGGTCTGCAGCCTGCCGATTCTTAGGCACAGGGGTTGGAGTAGATTGGTCTGAGGTCCCTTCTAGCTTGAAAACCATCCTCATCAAATACCAGAAGTGCTGACTCCTTTGACAGAGTGTTTACGTTCTTTGCCCATCTCGCTTAAACTCTCTTGAGCAACGCACCTTTTGGAGACAGGCTAAAAACGTGATCTTGAAACCCACCTCCCTCACCACCAGGTCACGACTGGTGAATCCCCTTCCCCGTCATTCCGGCACTTCCTTCCGGAAGCTCCTCTCATCACCATTACATGCTGTGCTTCTCCTTTCAGTGCCGAAGACTCAGATGAAGTTCAGCGTCCAAACAATGTGTCCCATCGAAGGAGAAGGGAACATTGCCCGGTTTTTGTTCTCTCTGTTTGGCCAGAAGCAGAATGCTGTGAATTTAACCCTCATAGATAGCTGGGTAGATATAGCGATTTTTCAGCTAAAAGAGGGAAGCAGTAAAGAAAAAGCCGCTGTGTTCCGTTCCATGAACTCCGCTCTTGGGAAGAGCCCCTGGCTGGTCGGGAACGAACTCACTGTGGCAGATGTCGTGCTGTGGTCTGTGCTCCAGCAGACGGGAGGCTGCGGCGGGATGGTGCCAGCCAACGTGCAGAAGTGGATGAGGGCGTGTGAAAACCTGGCCCCTTTCAACACTGCGCTCCGGCTCCTTCAGTGAATTTCAGTGACTAAAAGGCTAACTTCATGAGTGGTACTGCTTCAGGCCTGTGGGGGTGAAGGACTTGGGCTAAGATCAAAGTCTACTTAGGCCAGCTGTCTAGAATCAATAAAGGCATCATATAACTTGTGGGTTTCGCTTTATTTAAAATTGGGCAACATAGTGTGTAATATGCCAGCACGGCCTCCAGCTACATGGCGCACACTTGAGATGCAGCGATGAACTAATCACAGGGCTGCCTTTGAGGAATGTGCGTTGGTGGGGAGCCAGGTTTTGAGTGACAGAGAGCCCCGTGGGGACAGTGTGGGGAAGAAAACAGGAACATACATCCCAGAGCTAGCATCAGATCATTCGGAGGCAAGAGGCACAAAGCTCAGAAAGGGCGTGACTTTGGAACAATGCCCAGCTGAAGGTGAAGAGAACAGAAAGGCTGGATGCTGCACACTGTGCTGCTAAGAGGCTGAAGTTGTACCTTAGAGGCAGCAGAGAGCCAGCAGGAGCCTCTGAGCCAGGGGGTGAACTGCTCAGACATCTTCCTGGTAATTCACTGGCAGCAATGAGGAAGACGGGCAGCAGTCACAACCGGAACAGTCCTGAGAGTGTGTAGGCCTGAGCTTGGGCAGTGATGGGGTAGGCACATACTTAGATCTGTGCAGAATGTTCTAGAGGAGAGCTTAGTGGTCAACAGGCAGAGCTCAAGGGCAGAGAAATGAGCATGGGGTCCAAATCTACTTTCAGAGACTGGAGAGACAATGATTTTAAAAATTAGGAACTCAGGACAGGAGAAGGGAAAGAAAATAGGTTTAGTTTAGAGCAAGCTTTGGTTCAAATGCTGGTTCATGGAAGAATGCCTTAAGGGAAAGCAGTCTGGGGGAACTTTTACAACTTTAATTAAAGTCTTGTACAGGTTCACTAAATACAGACACCATCCATACATGAATAAAGCCTGAAAATTTACATTCCAGTTGACAAGCTAAAGAATTAGAAGTCCAAGTTCACATTTACAGAGCCTAATTAAGGATGGGGCACACTCCCATCCTTCACTTCATCCTTAGCCCCTTTGTCCTGAGAAAGGAGACTCAGCTGCTTCTTTAGTTCTTCAATTTCTTTTTCTTGCTCTACTATTTTCATCTGTAGAGTGAGGTTAACCTGTAAGGAAAAAATTTTAAGCTCCATTAAAATGGCTCCTCCATTTTAAACATGCAGGCATTCCTCCCTCTGCATGGTTCCGGTGTGCCTGAATTCCGGTTACCGCGGCCAGGGAAGCAGTGCCAGTCACCCAGCTACGTGTTTGAGGGGCAGGCGCCCATTGTCCCATAAGTGCAAATAGCAGCACCTCGGTCCATGATGCACGACCAGGGGTCAAGCATCACTCTGACAGGCTGTCAGTGGTTGGCCACTGCATCAGCACTGGCAACGTGTGTAGCTATCAACCCATGAGACAGTTTTTAAAAATAAATAACTGGGGTCACTTGGTGGCTCAGTCAGTTAAGCATCCAGCTTCGACTCGGGTCATGATCTCACACAGTTTGTGGGTTTAAGCCCCGTATCGGGCTCTGCTGTCCTGGAGCCTGCTTCAGATTCTGTGTCTCCCTCTCTGCCCCTCCCCCACTTGCACTCTGCCTCTCTCTCTCAAACATAGATAAACATTAATTAAAAAAAGTTAAAATCTCTAAAAAATTAAATTGAATGAATGAAATAGGGAACTGGCCAACCAGGGCAGAAGTGCTGCAAGCTAATGAGAAGCCATGATGCTAGAGGGGAAACCAAACTGCACCTAAATGATGTCCGAGAATAAACAGCTGACCATGGGGCTGCTGCTCCTGCCGCCACCAGACAGACAGGGTGCACAGCCACAGGGCCCAGCAAAGAGGACTTAACATAAGTAAGGAAAAGGACAAAGGTGTCCCAGAGAAAGTAACACTGGCACAATTCAGGTGGAAAGAACCCTTGGGAGATACCCTTTCACAACATCGAAAGTGTAAAGGATAGAATATTGGAAGCCGATCGAAACTCAGAAAGGAGGGGCACTTTGGTGGCTCAGTGAGTTAAGCATCCGACTTCGGCTTGGGTCTGATCTCACCGTTCATGAGTTCAAGCCCTGTATCGGGCTCTCTGCTGTCAGCACAGAGCCCACTTCAGAAACACTGTCCCCATTTCCCTCTGCCCCTCGGGCTCCATTCATGTGTGTGTGCTGTCTCTCAAAAATAAACAGTTAAAAAAAGGAGTATACAGTTCACCAAGGTATAGAAAAAAATGCTCATTCCATATCCTAAGTTCTACGACAAGATGAAGGTAGGCACTGTTCATGCCACTCTTGAACGCTTTAATTCTTCATTACAGTGCACTAAATAAATACTAGTTTTACAACGTTCTTTTCCATGTATACCTGAAACTGACAGTTTTTAATGTTCTGAGAAACATTTTTATTTTATTATTTAAAGAAATTTTTGTATGCTTATTTGAGAGAGAGAGAGAGACCGAGCATGAGCAGGGGAGGGGCAGAAAGCAAGGGAGACACAGAATCTGAAGTAGGCTCCATGCTCTGAGCTGTCAGCACAGAGCCCGACACGGGACTCAAACTTACCATGAGATCATGACTTGAACTAAAGTCGGATGCTTAACAGACTGAGCCCACCAGGTACCGCTCTGAGAAACATTTTTAAAGGTCACAGGACAACTGTAACTTCCCATTGATAGCTAACACCTGCATGGTCTGAGCTCAGCCAGGTCATGTTTACAGTCCATACAACCACGCAACACAAAGACGCCCGTATATACAGATTTTACCTGTATAGGTGTGTGTGGGCGGTTTTATAAAAAATTCCATGAGACAGAGGAGAGTAACTCTAATAGCTGACTTAACTGGGAGTTAGAAAATCCCTTCTATAGGAGAAGATAAATTTCATAACCACATCTGCTAATATCAAAGACTCAGCAAAGTACTACCCTACCTGTGTATTATTCTAGCCAGTGAAATTCAGTTTTACCTGAGAGTTAGTAAGCCTCAAGTAGAATACAGATCAACTCACAAGTTACCACAAATAGTTCCCAGACTAGCATGCATCAGAGCCGCTTCAGGTGTTTGTTAAGCCCAGACCGCAGCCCCCTCACCCCCCAGACTTCTCTGGGAATAGGGCAGGGCCGCAGAGCGGGCCTGCGAATTGTAGCAGGGTCCTGAGGATCTCGTGCTGCTGGCCTAAGAGCGCACCTTAAGGACCTGAGCAGGGAATGCGGTCCTGCTCCAGCACCGTGTGTGCAGATCACTTGGGGGATCTTGTTAAAGGCGGACTCCAACTCGGTGCGTCTGGGGTGGCACCAGGGTCCTGCACACTCTCACAAGCCCTCCAGCGCTGCTGGCCTGAGGACATCTGGAGGAGCAAAACGCCCGAGGATCCGTGAATGACGGACGAATGATGTTTCCAGTAGGTGCGGACTAGAGAGCATACTTGGCTCTGTAAGGTGTCGCTCCCCTGGGGCCATCACAGGACTGACAACCAGCCTCACACACTTGAATGTGGAAGGATCGTAGACGGGCTGAGGCGGTCTCTGCCACCGTCCCTCCACATCCCCCCAAGAATTCCAACTTTTACCCTGTGCCACGTGCTCCTTTTTACTAGTAGGTGTGTTATAATCAATCATATAAAAGGTTGTATATCACAGTTGGAAAAGAAAACGAAAGCCTTCTGACTTAGCAAGATGTGGCCGGAGAGCACAGGCTGGAACGACAGCGTCCCCAGGAGACAGTCAGCAGGGGTCACCTCGCTTCCTGGACTACGAAAGTGTGTTACTGGCAACTCTGGGAAGGAGTTGAAATGTCTGGTCTCCACAAGCCTTATTCTAAGCTCAACTGTTCTTCATGAAATCAGATTCACAATGAAAATTCTAATTTAACCCCCTATTTTCCCCAGTATTAAAATATATATACAGGGGCACCAGACGGGGGGCTCAGTCGGTGGAGCGCATGACTCTTCATCTTGAGGGTTGTGAGTTGGAGTCCCACGTTGGGCGTAGAGTTTACTTAGGAAAAAAAAAAGAAATGAAAAAAAATATATATATACATACATTTCCAGAATTTTGGAAAAGTTCGCTCTGCAGCAGCTGAACCGCAGACGGTCTCTGAGATGCGTTCATTCTAGTTAAGTGCTGGATATACTTGGCTTGTACCGGGCACCTCTTCCTGAGGGATTCGGGTATCTGACCGGTTCTTAAACCTGTGAGAACTTGCACGCGCTCCATTTCTGTTCCAAACGGCTGAAAGAGCTCCAGCAGGACCACACCCAAACTATACATGTCTGACTGGAGAAAGCAGGGAAGGGGATTTAGTGTGAAACACAAAGGGAGAGTATCAGTTCCATCTCAGCGCAGCATCATCCTTTGTAAAGAAGGACGGTTCATAGATCCCATGAGGAAGGCGGGCTCACCCCTCCCAGCGGCATGCGTCTGCCACCTACAAGCCATGGCCCTGAGGGAGAGGTGACCGGCACGGCCCCAATCCCTATCTCTGAGAAAGGGGCACCCATGGGCATAAAGGATGGACGGCTAGGCGAGGGGCAGGGATAACCCCCAGCGCCCACAGTCACTACTGAACGAGCGACTCCACCACTTCCCTGAAAATCCAGGCCTGGAGCGGCTGGAGCGAGAGGTGTGAGCTGCACGTGCCGGAGCCAGCCACAGGGGTCACGGTGTCCCTGCGGCCTGCTCCGGTGTCCCCCCTCTGCCTCCACACATAGTTTAAGCATTCAGGTGAAGTTTAACAAGCTGCATAAAATGTGTGTTACTTTGCCTAACAGTTCTTCTGGAGGTCTTTACCAGAGAGGATTTTAGGAACAGCCACTAAAAAGCTGAATGATTCATCAAAAGGAAGAAAATTTATTGGGCTGTTATTTTGAGAAATTGGTTTACTTTGACATTCCTTCAAGGAACAGAATGGATTAAAACTCCTCAGCATCTTCATTCTACTTCAAAGGGAATCAAGAGCCACACTTCCCTGTAGCGGTTATTTAGCATTTTTTTGAGAATACAGAAGGCAGGCTAACTCAGGCTTCTATGAATTCTAGCTTCCTGAGGTAAACAGTGATGTTCTCAAGGGAAAGCTCTTTTCAAAAATAATTTATGACACCCACGGATTTACCAGCGGTAAAGGAGACTAAAAATCAGTGCTGTCAAGACTCCACTACAAAGCGAAGCTTCCTGTTTCGGGGGTTTGATGTAACAGACAACCTACTCTGCTCCATTATCCCCCCCAAGCCCCTCGACGCGAGAGCATCCACCGCCTTTATATGTGCTTCTGTCACTAATGACTGCAGACTCCGTCCAACTGAAGGGAGAGAGGCAGTGCATACTACCTTGGCATCATACTCGGATCCTTCCAGCTGCTCAGGGGAAGCGTACAGACAGGTACCCACTCTGGAAGTGTGCATGGGCATTCCTGCAATTGGAAAAGCCAGATAGTAAACACTGCAGAGTTCACACTATCTACACTACAGAAAGGGACTCTGAGCAGGGCACTGAGGGAATGATATTTGCTTTACATTCTTAGCTTACTTTTGCTATAGTAAGTCTTTGTGGTTCTCCCTAAGCGCAGGGGCGCCTGAGGGGCTCAGTGGGGGAAGCCTCCGACTTTGGCCCAGGTCATGATCTCCTGGTTCATGAGTTCGAGCTCTCTGTCAGGCTCTGTGCCGACAGCTGGGAGCCTGGAGCCTGCTGCGGATTCTCTGTCTCCCTCCCTCTCTGCCCCTCCCCCGCTCATGCTCTGTGCCTCTCTCAAACTATACCATTTTTAAAAATATCGTCAAGTGCCATCATGCCTCTTTTTCCTTATTGCCAAGAAAAAAAAAAAGAACACAACCAAAATAAACTTACTCTTCCCATCTCTATCGATCCAGTCTGCGTTCTTCTGTATGATGTTCGTGCAGGCCAGACCAAAGTCGCCTATTTTTACTTGCTGATCAGCGCCATGAAGAAAAATATTTCTGGGCTGTAAACAAACAGAACAACTCCTTGGTGTTCTCAAAACAAATGGTAAAAATGCAAAGATGTTAAGAGCTTTCAACTCAGGAGCAAGGAGCCCCTGAAAAATGAAAAATTAGGCCAGTGGTTCTAAAACTCAGCTGCACATCAGAAGTACCAGGGAAGGTTTACGGGCGCCTGGGTGGCTTAGTCGGTTAAGCGTCCGACTTTCGCTTAGGTCATGATCTCGTGGTTCGTGAGTTCGAGCCCCGCGTCGGGCTCTGTGCTGACTGCCAGCTCAGAGCCTGTAGCCTGTTTCAGTCTGTGACTCCCTCTCTCTCTGCTCATGCTGTCTCTCTCTCTCTCTCTCTCCTAGAAATAAATAAAATCTTTAAAAAAAAAAAAAAAAAAAAAAAGAAGTACCAGGGAAGGTTTAAAAACAAAAAATCCGAAGGTCCAAGCCATTCCACAGACCAATAAAATCAGAATTCTTGGGCGTGGACACAGGCAGCAGTATGATTTTAAAGTCTCCATGTTGGGGCCTCAGTGGCTCACCTGGTTAAGTGTCTGACTCTTGCTTTCAGCTCAGGTCATGATCTCATGGTTTGTGATTTTGAGCCCCACACTGGGCTCCAGGCTGGCAGCACAGAGTCTGCTTGGGATTCTCGCTCTCTGCCCCCTCCCCCTCCCCACACCCCCCCATGTACATGTGCTCTCTCAAAACAAATAAACATTAAAGAAATGATAATAAAAGTCCCCATGTTACTCCAAGTTTGAGAACCAGTAACGCAGAGCACACTTTGTTCACAGGTGGTCATAAGCCCTGACTGGATGTCAGAATTCCCTGAGAGCTTTTAAAACCTACGGTCTTCTCTAAAAAGTCAAAGACTGATTTGTGTTAAGTTTATTTATTTTGAGAGAGAAGGAGAAAGAGCAAGCAGGGGAGGGAGAGAGGGAAAGGGAGAGGGTGAGAGGGAAGGAGGGAGGGAGGGGGAGAGAGGGAGGGAGAGAGGGAGGGAGGGAGAGAGAGGGAGGGAGGGAGAGAGGGAGAGAGAGAGAGAGGAGAGAGAGAGAGAGAGAGAGAGAGAGAGAGAGAATCCCAAGCATGCTCTGCGCTGTCAGCACTGAGCCCCATGCAGAGCTCAAACTCACAAACTGTGAGGTTATGACATGAGCTGAAACAAGGAGTCAGACGCTTAACCAACTGAGCCACCCAGGTGCCTCTGATGTCTTTTTCTAATGAGAAAATTTTGGTATTTTTTAAAGCTCCCAGATGATTCTTTTATGTTAGCCAGGGCTAGAGGTGACAAGGTCATGATGTGAAGGTGTGCACTCAGCTCTATTCAAGCATCCAGTGCAGACCCAAAGCTGCTCCCAATGGAGCTAGTCCTGTGCCAGCAGAGACCTGCGCCCACACTGGGGGAAGGAGGCCTTCTACTCAAAACGAAAGTATATTTAGGTTAAAGTTGGCTTTTCCTACTTTAAATGTAATAATTTTATTTCCATGTGTAAATTCCTATTTTAGCTTTGTTAGTTTTTGTTTTGTTTTGTTTTTAACTATTGCTGAATGGAGAATAGCACAGAAATGATCTTATGCACAAGATGATAATTTGGGAATGTTTCTGTGACTGAATGAAGTCCCCAAAACCGTGTTTCTATATGGCACTGTATGACCTAAGCACAGAGCTTTAAAAAGGTGGCTCTTAAATAAATAAATAAATAAATAAACAAATAAAATTAAATAAAAATAAAAAGGTGGCTCTGATAGAAAAATGAACCCGGTTCACAGATACAAGCCTCCACAGTTCTTGAACAGTTCTAGAACGGAACCGAAAGGATCATAATGAGACTGAAACAGACCAATTCTGTCACAAGTGTCCCCTGAATTTCCAGCAAGTCCCCACTCTTTGAAATTTTGCTCATGGGAAACATAACCAAGAGAGGCAGCAAGGAGCTGGAGGCCGACGAGGCCACAGCCCTGGAGGAAGGCCCAGCCGTGGCCCTGCACACCAGGCTCTACGAGGCCATCATGAGGGAGGACTGCGCGGCCATCCAGGTGCTCCTGAGAAGCCACCCTGTCAACCAGCCCATTCCCATTCCGGCCAACTCCACCAGCTACCGACTCCTTCTGAACCAGGTACCCCCTTTCCTGCTCAGTCACCCGTAGGGAAAAGATGCACTTCCTCGGAAGGCCCGCCGCCTCACCCTGTAGGCTCTTCGAGGCCCCACCACGCCCACGGCCCACGGGTCATCCCCAGCGCACTGCACAGCCCCCCTCCAGTTACCACACGCACACGGACATGCGGAAGGACTAGAACGCTCTGGCTGGCAGAACATTCACGTCATTCTCTCAAATACGCTGATTACAGCTGTGTGAAGGGATTATTTCTCCCCCTTTTTACATGCGCTTTACCATTTTCTAAATTTTTACAGAATTATTACCATTTTAATTATTTTTTTCAAAAGTCACCCCTCCCCTACCCCACCTTCTTCCCTCATCCTGCAGTCGCGCTGGAAAGCCGCCACTTACACATACATGCATTTTAAGAACTGGCATAAGCACCTTTGCTAGTCACAGAACACACCTGTGTCATCTCAGACCCCGGAAATGCGGGTGCTACTACTGAGCCTATGACTTCGGCAAAGTCGTACAAAACACAAAACCTTACTTGTCAATAGCCCTGCAGGTTAAATTTAAGGACTAAGTGACTTAGTAGCAATTACCGCTAACTTTCCCCTCAGAGCTCCCCACAAGAATCACTTTCCAAAGCTTTCAGTAAGTGATTTCTGTTGCCTTGGTAATTTGCATTTATGTAAAACACAGGTTTTATAATATGAAACTCACTGGTTTGGGGTCATTTCAAAGGGTCAAAAGGAAAGGAAAATTTTCATGCACATATCAGAAAAAATACCGAGCTGAGATACTAAACACACGCACTTCCTCTGATAAGCTGACACAAGGGCCGCTTCTCCCCGCACAGGGCTGCTCATAACGTATTTCGGTTTCTCCCTCGAAGCAGACCCAGTCCATCATCCCCATTCACCTGGCTGCCGAGTACCGCAAGGCGCAGAGTTTGCTCTGTTTGCTAGAACACGGCGCTGACCCCGAAGTAAGGTAACTCAATGGGGACCATTTCTCCGTGAGGATACGCCTGAGTTAGGTGGTACCCTGCCCGGTCACGTCCAGACTCACCCATCCCTGGGGGGTTACGGACTACAAAATACTAGGTCGTGAATGAACCATTTTCCTTACTGACTAAATGAGAGCCTCTCAAAACCTGGCAGAAACGGGGGCAGGCACAGCAGCCGGCCCGCTGAGAGCATCCTGAGAAGCGCTCAGCAGTGATGCCGCGGAAAAGGCATTCAGTCCTGGTCATAGCCCTCATGGAGTTTAAAACCCTAAGCTAGGTGTGGAAAATAAGTAAACAGAAAGAGACAATGGATTGTCTTTCCATCTCCCACCCCTAGAAAGTGTACTTCATGAAAGAGAAATGTGTGTCGCTCACCAATACGTCTTCACCATGTAGCCCAATGCCTGGCACTAAGCGCCCGATAAATACTGTCTAGTGAAGGAACAACTTCTTGGCCCCGTAACATTACAGGAAAGCGAAGCCCCCGATCCTCGCCACGCTCCAGTAGAGCCTCCCAACCTGTCTGGCTCCCACCCTCATCCCTGCGCACCCCTGCTCAGCACTGAAGACCCTCAAGCATTCCTTCCAAGACTGGACGCCACCAATGCGCCCCCTCCTCCACAGCGGCCCCTGGGTGTACCCTTTCTGACCACAGGCCGCCCCATGGGCCCTCATACCCCTTAGAACTTCGCCCACGTGCAATCCCGGTCTGGTTACCTAAACATGTTTAACGTCTTTCATGCTAGACTGTCAGCCCCGCCAGGGCAGGGACTGTGCTGTTTTACCTTATCCCTCCCTACCTGGGCCTGACGCTACACAGATGTATGTGAACTGAAAATCATTTCCCAATTTCAGCAGAGCAGTCGGATATTTGCAATAAACCTTCCCTTTTCTCTGCCACATAAATCAAGTTGGGAGGCAACCCAGAGAGATTTCAGCAGAGCCGTGCATGAGGGCTGTTGTAAAACCCTCGCTGCACCTAAGGTGGGGTGGGGGAGTGAGGACAAACTGGCTTCACTCACTGGGGACTGTGGGTCTCCAGATTCGACCCTGTCTTCCATTCCACCTACTCACGTGTGGGGAGCAGATGCAGGGCCACTAAGAACCACATCGGCAGGCCTTCTGGCCTGTTTCGGCTCGACTCTGCCGTAAGAGCAGGCCACACCCAGGCCCACAGCACTCTCGCGAGTGGCCGCTAAACCACAGCACCGTGGGAGGTGCTGGGGCACAGGATTAACTAACATGGAGCCTTGAAGAGGCCACAGTCCCAGTAGGGGTAACAAAACTGAAACTGCTGTAGGAAGCCAGGCCCCTCTATGCCGTGGCACACACCACCCTGTCCCCCCAAAAACGCTGTGATATCCCGAGAAGCTCAAAGGCCTTGCAGATTTCCAAACACTTCTCCAGAGTAGTTGAGGGGAATTACTTCAAATACACACTCCCTTCTTGAGCACTAATGCCTTGTGTAGAGACAGTGTAGATATTCGTGGATACAGTGTAATCTGTGATGAATAACTATTTTAGGGACACAAGAGGCCTTACCACACTTCACCTGATGCTACTACACTGGCCCATCATTTCCACCACGTGGACAAAACCCGGGAACAGAATACAAAAGATCCTGACAGACATTCAGAATAACGCTGTAACGTGTCTCCGCATTTTGTGCGAACACGGAGCCCAAGTCAACACTCGGGTAGACAACAGCAACAAACACTCCCCACTGCACCTGGCCATAACCTACGGGACCTATCCAGTGCTCTCCATCTTAGCCCAGAATGGTGCCCACGTCAATGCCATTAATGAATCCAGCATGACACCCCTTCACATGGCTGCAGACACACTGAACAAGGAGATGATGGAAACTCTGATTGCCTGCGGAGCAAACGTAAACTGTGCCGTCTCTTCCACCGGGAATACGGCCCTTAAGCTGGCAGTGTGCACAGCATCGAGCAAAGCAGGCCGAATGCTGGCCGCGGGCGTGAACTGCATCCGTTTGCTGCTGACCCATGGAGCCCAAGTAAATGCCCAGGATCACGAAGGTCAGACAGCTATCCATGAGGCGTGTTTTGGAGGCAGAGAGGCGATTATCAGTCTCTTGCTTGAATCTGAAGCAAATGTTAATCTACTAACGAGGAACGGGGAGTCTCCCATCTACATGTACCTTCAGCGCAGTTCCAACATAAGGGACACGGCCCTTCTGGCCAGGCTCCTTGATCGCTCTTATCCCTTGAGGCTGACCAATAACCAAGGAATTCTACCTGCAGGAATCATGCTACCGGAATTCCACCTCTTAAGGGAAAACCTAATAAAGCTCTCTCAAAAACCCTTATCCCTGGAGGACATCTGTAAAAGGAACATCAGGAATATTTATGGTGAAAAATACAAACGGCACTTGAAGCAACTTCTCCCCGCAAAGATGTGGAATTCTGTATACGGCTATCATGACTTAGCTTACCTCCTGAAATAGGACCCCAAGGTGGCAGGGCCACAGAATCTGAGTAACTCACCATGCAGTTTCTGGCTAAGACACATGCCCAGAAAACACTGAAACCCTCAGCTTGTACATCCCGAATGTACAAACCATTTGGTTCTTTTTTCAAAAAATAAATTTTTTTCAAAAAATAAAATGATTTGCACATTAACTTTTTTGTTCCCAAAATATTTAAATTTTTTTTAATGTTTATTTATTTTTGAGAGACAGACAGAGTGTGAGAGGGGGAGGAACAGACAGGGAGGGAGACACAGAATCCGAAACAGACTCCAAGCTCTGAGCTGTCAGCCCAGAGCCCGATGCGGGGCTCAAACTCATGAACTGCGAGATAGCGACCTGAGCCAAAATCGGATGCTTACCCGACTGAGCCACCCAGGCGTGCCCCTCCCAAATACTCTTTTAAATACATTTTCCACAATTTAACTTTTTGTTCAAAAGTAAGCTACTTAAAACTCTTCTGCCAAAGAAGTAAATGTATTTTCTTGATAGCCTGTTGTGATTAAAAATTAGAATAAGCATAGATTTTTTAAAGAGCAGAAAAAAATTGGCCATATTACGTTCCCTTGGAGATATACAATCATTGAAACAGACATCAATCACCTCTAAGGATCCAATAACATATGAGGATTTTTGTCTGCATTAAATACATTTAACGTCATCAATTATATTAGTGCTCAGCACACTCACTACCTGGAAAAACAGTACTAATCCTCCAGGGAGAATTCTCAAATGCCCAAAGATCAGTGCCTTTAAATTCAATCTAAAGTTCCAGGCCTATGGGACAATGATTTACATAAAAACAATGATAACCCTCTAAGATACATAATTTCATCTAATTCAATGAGCCAATGCCACATCCTCCCTGATACCTCCCTGCTACTGCTGCTTTTGATGGCTTCCCCACTTACCTTCAGATCTCGGTGTACAATTCCCATGTTGTGTATGTAAAATACACCTTCCACCAATTCTTGAAAAATTTTTGTTGCAACACTGGCCATAACATAAGGACCTTCAAGTAAAAAAGGAAGTTTTATTTCTCTGATTGTCCTTTTACTCACCACATTAATATCTCAAAGTTATATAGTTCTAAATACATTAAATACATTAACATCATTCAGATTTTCAATGAAATCAACACTCCAAAATGGTTAGAAATTAGAAGGGTTCCTCAGGTTGCAAAGAAACCATCACAAACCAGCACCCTAGTGAATGGACTTGGTGTCACTAATTTCACTCAGAGCCGCTATATTAATTATCTCGAAAACCATCCTCAGGCAGCAGGTGGCTACAGTAAATTAAGTTTAAATCTTCTTCGACCCCTGACAGCTAACAAATCTCGTGTCCTAAACCCACTGCGGTTTAGAGACACGGTTAAAAATAACGGAATAAAAAACTGATAAATCAGGGCAGCTCAAGGAGTGAGCTTCCATTATGTGGACATTTGGAATGCTGCAGTTTCTAAAAATGACTGACAAATGAAAGACAAAGTATACAGAAAAGTAAATAATTTAATTCATCTATTACCATGATGATATAACGCCTGACTTTAGAGAGCGGAAAAGTTCTGTAGAACTAAAACAAACTGATAAAGACGAAAATCCTGGAGTTTCCCAGCTAAGCTATTTTGGTGAATATCATAATGAGAACTTAATAGTTTTTCTCTTGTCAGCCATTGTAAACCTTAAACAGACTTTCCCTTCAAGCACAGTATGAGACATGCTCCCTTCTCCTGGATGAGGCCACCGTGTTACGAAGCTCACCTCCTCCCCCCCAACCCCACCCCCGCTCCTCTCTTGCACCAGCTAGCATGTACTTCAGGGAGCTCAAGTCCTTAGCCCAGTGCTTGAGAAGACAGAAAACTCGTTGGGGGGCGGGGGGGGGGGGGTGCGTGTGTAAACACAACGGTACCACTCACAAGCACCTCTACTACCACTCCCCCGCACACCGAGGCCCCGGCCTCCTGTCCACAGAGATGAAGGACGGCTTTGTGACTTTCACAGCCTTTCGGGACAACTGCCTTCCTTGGGTCTATGGGTAAGAGGTGCTCATCTCGGGCCCCGGCTACAGGCTCGGTGCCACACACGGGCCTGGTCCGGGGAGAACACTCTCCGTCCCTCAGCACTGCACCCCTCACACCAGTTGCTTCAATCCTCACACCCGATCAGATGGGAGGATCCACATTTCACAGGGGAAGAAAGAGCAGGCGGAGAGCAGCTCCCCGACTTGACACCTTAGAGCCAGTGAGTGCTAGCGGCAGGATGCAAACCGGGGTGTGCCACTTCTGGACTGGTGGGAAGGACTGGTATAAAACTACACGAAGGAAAGCACATGGTGCTAGAGTACTACAAAGTGAAACCTTTTTATTTTGAAGTATTTTTACAAGAAAACTATGTGTCACGCTAGTGAAATCCTACACGTCATGCCCTCAGTTTCACCGGCTCACTGTCCTGGATGGCGGGCACTGGAGTCACCCCACACATACTCATGAGCGACTCGTGACCTGTTTTCCAAACGGAAGTTTAAGGATCAACAACTCTCTTGTGGAGGCATCCACGTAGAGCACTCCAGTGCCTGTGCAGCCGCAGACACAACTCTACGGGGCACTGGAAACACCCCGCCCACTACTTGCCATGACTAAACTGAGCAAGGTGTGCCAGGTCCCAACTATGTGGCAAACCAAAGAAGAAGAAATAGGGAGAATCGAGGGGATGCTTGAGAGAGGCGTTCTGTTTCTGCCTCCACTGAAAGCTAACCTAAGATTCTGGGTGGGTTAAGTGAGCAGCATGTTAGACCAAATATAGGGTGACAGTGTCATTAGGATTGAACAGCAAATGATTAATACCCAATATTTAGCAGAGGCTTTCCTTAAAATCTGGTCACTTGCATCCCCAATTCTGGTGACAGAATACAGTGATTTTCAACTCTGGCGACACAATACAATCAACAAGAGAATTTTCAAAAAAAAATACCAAAGGCCAAACCCTATCCCAGTATCAGTTATATAGAAATTACTGGTGCAGTCTCAGACAACATCCTTTTTTAACAAAAATAGACTTTACTTGTGAGAACCATCTTAGATCTAGAGAAATGGGGATGACAGTACAGTCCCACTCACCCACATGCAGCGCCCCGTTATTAACACCTGCATTAATACGGTGCACTGGTCACAATTAATGCACCAACACTGGCACAAGTCCACAACCTAGTCAGACTTCCCTAGTTCTTATTGAACGTCCTTTCTCTGTTCTAATGTTTTGTTTTGTTAATGTTTTTTTTAATTTCTGAGAGAGACAGACAGACAGACAGACAGCATGAGCAGGGGCGGGTCAGAGGGAGAGGGAGATACAGAATCTGAAACAGGCTCCAGGCTCTGAGCTGGCAGTCAGCACAGAGCCCAACGCGGGGCTCGAACCCACGAACTGTGAGATCATGACCTGAGCCGAAGTCGGACGCTTAACCGACTGAGCCACCCAGGCGCCCCTTTGTTCTATAACTCCACTCAGGACACCATATTACACTTAGCTGTCAGGTCTCACGAGGCTCCTCAGATCTGCTACAGCTCCTGAGGCTTTTCCTATTTATGAGGACCATGACAGTTCTGCAAAGTACAAAGACACTGCGTAGAACATTCCAGATAGAGATTTGTCTGATGCTTTCTTATAACCAGACTGGCATCATGGATTTGGGGGAGAAAGACTCCAAACACGCAACGCCCCTCTCATCACCCTTCTCAAGGGCACACACTCTGAACAGGAGTTTTTACTTCTGACGCTGACTTTGAACACCACCCAAAGTCACGTTGGTCAGCTTTCTCCACCACAGTTATACTTTCTCATCAACAGCATCTTTTTGAAAGCTCCCTAGAGGATTCGAATGTGCAGCACAAGTTGAGAACTATTGTGACAGTAACTTTTAAAGTTATTAACCCAACAGAGTATTTCTAGAGGGTATCTAACTACAGAGGAAGCAAGGGGACCTGGAACTTAAAAGAGACCAACTTTTCACCATCTACCCTTCTATAAGCATTTCTCTAAGTGGTGTAATTTTGCAAGAGTATCACGTCACATTTTGAAAAAGAAAACATTTAAATTTCTTCCTTGGAAAAAATTATAAAGACCTTTTCTGCCCCAAACCATTAAGCTGAACTCTAGTATATTACTACTCAGGTGTCAACAAACTATGTCTCTCTATATAGGCCTCCATTCTTGAAAAATGTTGACATAAGCACCATTGCTTCTTTGTGTTAAAAAGGTGATGCTTCCCCCCTAAAGCACCTGGAGGGAGTCCCTGTACCAGAAGACCCGCCCAGTGTCTTCACTTCCCAGCTCAGCGTTTGCAGCTACGTACAGTACTCACAGGCAGACTCATCCACGAACTCCCGGCCCCGCTGGTTTCTCTCGACTATCCAGTCCCACAGCGAGCGCTCACACAGCTGCATCTGGATGTGCAGCATCAGGTGGTACTGCACCTGGGGGGCGACATGGCTGGCTCCCACCTGTGCACAATTTGCTCACGTCATTTAGTCTAACGGATACTCACCTGCCTCCTCTAGGCCAAGCACTGGGCTAAATCCTCAGGAAAGAGGGGACAGGTGCATGTCTGCCCAAGAAGCCCCAGAGTCTAGTGAAGGAGACAGAGAAATAAAGGAATACCGCAAACGGAGTGTCATAACCCAAGGGGGCTGAGGTAGGCCCAGCTGCAGAAGGGCAGTGGCTCCTGAATGGGACACAGAGGCATGGGGGCGGAAGCTATTTGGTCTGCTCACGACACAAAGAGTTTCTAAAGCTAAGACACCGGGTCAAAGAATGGCGGTGTAGTATTCTATTCTCCGAACACCTCAACATATACGCACTGTGGTGGCTTCACTGTGTCCGTAAGTAACTTGTCTGAGAAAAAGGTAAGCAAAAATTAAGCTTGCTAGAGCCTGTTTGTTTAGGGGCCGAGGAAAATTCCTCAAATGTAATACAAGGAAATGAAATGGTTTCTATGAACAGTCCCTCAAACTCAACTCCTTTGTATTCAGGAGAATCTCATCAAAGTTTTGTGTTTTGTGGAAAGCACATGCACAGGGTCACATATTCCTGGGCAACGAGAGCTCACTGTGTGTGTGTATGTACAGACGGCATACAGCTCTGTGATTCCAGCATGTAAGATTACATGCAGACGCTGTTAATGTTTCAGGTTTGTCTGTTTTCTAACACTAATACTCAAGAGCGTGTGGGCGAGAGCATGTAGGCATCTCACCAACATATTAGCGTGACCCTCAATGAGAGTGTCCCGTAAACAGACTTGGTCTCTCTCTCCTCTCTCCTAAAGTCCTGTTCCAAAATATAGAAAATCTTTATGTGTAAACATACATGTACAGCATGATGCTAACATGCAACAGAAACCATGCAAACAATACTTCCAGCCCCGGAGGGGGCAGGGGGGCCGCAAATGAGAACACCTAGAGAAGGCCAGAAAGGGATTAGTAGGAGCCAACAAAACAGAGAAGACCCAAAACGAGGGCCACAGGCCAGGAGGGGAGAGGCTGACCAAGGCAAAAGAAGAGCGACAGGAGAGGCAGGCGAGGTGGGCAGTCAGTAGGGGAGGGGTGCGGGGGAGGGGGGCAGCAGGAGGCCACAGCTGCTCACAGTCCTCGAAACAGTTGCTATGGGTGAGCATCAAAGCGTCGGTAGGTTCTGGGAAAGTTACCTACCCCTGTCTGTCCCAACAAACTTAAGTTTTCAGAAGACTCCTCCGTGGATGTGAAATTCTCTTCTAAGTCGGAATGATGCCTAAGTGGCAGCTGATGTTCCACAATCGATGTGGAAGGCAAATCAGCCAAACCATTTCCCTGGAGCAAACCGGATGAGTCCAATTCACTGGCATCTCTTGTAACCACACTGGTTGCATAATTCACCAATCTGTTACTCTGATTTTCAATGCCATTTTCTCCTAAGGACTTTTCTTTCTCTGACGTGAACTCCGCAAAGATAATGGATGAGCTGTTGCTTTCGTCACTGTTAACAGACTGATTTCTGGAAGGAAAAAAATAACCACTAAAGCTACAAACCAATGTAAAAAAGAGATCAAGAGTAACTCAGCTGTCTCCTCAAGCCCTCAGAATCTTAACTGGTAAACTCCTGAAGCAAACGGCATCAAATCTCTCTAGCAGCAACACTAACTGAAAACACTGACAATAAATGGCTAGGAGGAGGAAACAATTTAACATTTGTACTGAAAATGGGCAAACCAACAAAGACAACCCAATGCAGGTTATACCTAACCTGTCAAACCAAACAGCAGTCCACATACCTGTGGTCCTCTTCATTGGAGATCACTTCCAGAGATGGCAACTGAATGGATATTCTATCTGCCAAACAAAAACAAAAACAGATCTTCAAGCGGCCCAGCTTTCTAAGTCATAGTCAAAGGCAGAGCTAAAATGACACCAAATGAGGGGCACCTGGGAGGCTCAGTCAGTTGAGCGTTCGACTTCGGCTCAGATCATGATCTCCTGGTTCATGAGTTCAAGCCCTGTATCAGGCTCTGTGCCAATAGCTCAGAGCCTAGAACCTGCTTGAAATTCTGTGTCTTCCCCTCTCTCTGCCCCTCCCCCACTCGTCCTCTGTCTCACTCTGTCTCTCAAAAACAAAATAACATTAAAAACAACTTTTTAAATAAAATAACACCAAATGAGACCACAAGTCTAAAAATGTTAATGCTTTCTGGCAAAATACAACAAGCTTATTCAAATGCCTGGCAAATTTTAGGAACTATAAAAACAGAGCCGTTCAGCTATGCCCAGAGTGTGGGCAGGGAGCCAACTTTGTGCAGAAGACCTGAGAGTAGCTCCCATTGGTCCTGTGGGCCTTACAGGGCTCGCCACAGCTACAGGGCTCTGTGGCTACGGTGCGAAATCGGCCACAGACGATACACAAATGGATGAGGTCTGTGACCTAACCAACTTTGCTTACTGATGTGAAATCTGAATTTCAGGTAACTTTCACAAAACACCCTTCTTTTGATTCCTTTTAAACTACTTAAAAATGTTAAGAAAACACTCTCCGCTTGTGGGATGCACAAAAAGGGGGGGGGGGGCCGCAAGGGCTGCGGTTTTCCAGCCCTTCGGCGACATCATCTGCAGCTGCTTACCTTGTTTGTGGGCCACATGAACATGTTCTATCCAAGCAGTGTGGTAGCCCACGATGCTAGGATGCTGAAGGCCGGCCAGGACCTTCACTTCCCGCAGCACCTACAGAGGGAACACTTACATCCGGCGTTCACGCACCACTGGTTAAATGTCCATGATACCAAAATACCACTTGTTTCAACAAACTGAGGACTGATGGGTGTGGGGGGGAGGGGAAGTGGAGTGATGGGCACGGAGGAGGACACTTGTGGGAATGAGCACTGGCTGTTATATGGAAACCAACTTGACAATAAACTATTTAAAAAAAAATACCACTTGTTTCAGAGCAAAACAATAAATATCCATCTGAACAAGGAACCTAAACTATGTTAAGATAATCGTAATATTATTGAGACAAATGGAACTGTTATAGCGACAAAGGAATATACACATACCTAGTGCTTTATAATTTAAATAGTCCATTTATATTCATTCTTGCATTTTACTCCTACCAGTAAGTCCAGTGCTCGCTTCAGCAGCACATATACTAGGAAGTCCAGTCCCTGAAGGTAAATAAAACTATTGCTGTCACCACTATGTCAAGGACAGGTGACAGAAGGGGCTTAGAGGACTAGGTCATTTGCCCAGGACCATACAACATGTCAGGGGGAAGACCAGAACCTGTGAGCTCATATCTTCATAACAAGCTATACTGTGTATGAATAATTTCCTTTAAAAATTAATGTCCCCAGCAACAATCCTGAAATGTGGTGAGGAGTGACCATAAAAAATTATGTCAGGGGCACCTGGGTGGCTCAGTCGGTTGAGAGTTCAACTCCTGGTTTCAGCTCAGGTCACAGTCTCACAGTTGGTGACATCAAGCTCTAAATCGGGCTCCACAATGACAATACAGAGCCTGCCTGGAACTCTCTCTCTCTCTCTCTCTCTCTCTCACCCTTTCTCTGCCCCTCCCTTGCTTGCACTTTCTCTCTCTCAAAATAAACTTAAAAAAATTAAGTCAAATAAAAATGTAGTTTTGATGTTTATTTCACTATAACCCAATCAGTAAACTTGGCAATCCACAAAACCTAGTATCAATAAAACAATTTTTTTAAATTAAAAAAAATATATCAGAGCCTAATAAGCACTGGGTGACGTATGGAACTGTGAAACCACTATACTGTACACCTGATACCAGTAGAACATTGTATGTTAAATGGAATTTAAATAAAAATTAACCCCCTAAAAAAAAAACCCCCACAGCATCTAGTATTTGCCAAATACACACACATACGTAACTCTTTCAATAGGACTTAAATACTCAATTACTCAAAATGGATACACTTAAAAATCCATACCTTCATACAATCTGTTTTAGTTGCACCGTTAATCAGGATTTTCTTAATTGCATAATACTGACCATCTAATTTATTCCTGACCTAAAAAGTAGAGGAAAAGAGAAAAGAACATTTTGCCATTAAATTCCAACTGAACAGAGAAAGTTATTTTAACCTGAGCTCGGGATCCAAACTAGCTAAACAGATAAGATTAAGCGAAAGACAAGCCTCCTCTTTACTATGTTCAGGGAAGTCGGCCATAGCCAGCTGGACTAAAAGCTTCCAAACTGCAGTGCAATCCCAACTCCTAGAGCCTCTAGTTATGAAATCTGGGAACATTAGCAAAAAAACTCCATAAGGCCCAAAATACAAAACCACAACTTTCTTCAGTGATACGTTGTCAAGAAAATTAATACGGATTCCGGAATCCGCCCAAACCACCAATATGGTTGGGAAAAAGTTAAAAGCTGCCTGCTTCCCTGCAAATGACGATCTCTGTGAAATAGGAATTTCCTTTGAGCGCTTTAAATAATAATCATGAGGAAAACTTCTCTAAGTACACTTATTCAGAGTAGGAGATCAAAGCAAGGATGTGGAAAACAACCTTATACACTCTTCCGTATCCACCTTTTCCTAAGACAGCAAGCTCTTCAAATTCATTTAGATAACGTGAAGTCTGTGTTTCAAAGGTTACTTCCCTTGATCTAAAAGTGAAATACAAACAACCAATCAATATCAAAACACACGAGAACCAAGCATCCAGGGTATTTCAGGTTCACTGTATCGTTAACTTACCGAACCTTACTTATCACTAAATTACGATGATTTGAAAAGATGACACTTTACATTCTCTAGGAAAAAAATATTTGCTGAGCAAATCAACATGTAATAAAGACAGCAAGGAGGGAAAAAATTAAAGAGAGCAAAGGGATCATTAATCAAGTACATTACCAGTAATTAGCATTCCAATTAGAAATTATCAATGTTGTAAAGCAGGAATCCTAAGGATAACTAACATGCAGCATTTGATTAGCTGAGCTCAGTAATAAATTAACTTAAATTTCTTAATGAGACCAATTACAGATTTTAGACTAGCATCTCCTACCTATAGCCAAAATTCAATGTTGTTCCACTGAGAGAGACTGGGGGTCAGTGCACTCAATAAAGGAGGGGGCTTTATGGCATCCACACAGGATGGGGGTGGAGGGAGAATGAGAAGTAAAGCAAATCTTGGAACAGTAACTAATATCTGAGAAAAAGCTTTTAATTTTCATAAACTACTAACTGCATTATTTTTAATCTCAAAACTCATTTCTGATTAATTCAGGATTAGTTCTTCATTTCTTTTGCATAGCTTACTCTCTGCACAACCACAAAAGTATTTAACACATACCTGATCTTCTGGATATGAGAATTATCCTCACAAGGATCCTAAAATCAGAAAATTGCTTTTAAAAGCATTTTGAAAAATTTATGGAATGAGGAATCTCACAAAATTCATGTGACGTTCATGTCATGTTAACGGTCCCAAATGCTCAAACAACATTTCAAGAAAGAAGAACACTCTGGCTTTTTCAGTATCATCTAGGGGTTTATAGGGTTTACTATGGAAAACACTTCTCTCTTAACCAAAAGATCACTACTGAAAAAGCTATATTCTGGCCACCCACTGAGAACGTTGAAAACTTACCAAAGAGCTCCATCAGCAAGTAGTTCTAGCTTTACCTCAAAATACATGCAGAAATGGACCACTTCTCACATCTCCACTGCCTATGACCACCTGTCTCCCTGCTTCTGCCCTTGCCTCCACCTAGACTCAACACAGCAGCGGGGGGGATGGGGGAGGCATTAAAAGGTAAGTCAGATCACGTCACTCCTTGGCTCAAAATCCTGTAATGCTTCCCATTTTATTCGGTGTAAAAACCAAAGATGTTAAAACGGTCTCAAGATCCTACTCTATCTGTCTGTCTTGCTGCCCTCCTTCCCTGCCTCTTCCATACTCTCCTCTGGCCTATGCTCCAGCCACATGGCTTCTGGTGGGCAAAGCACACTCCACCTCGGGAATCGCTGTTGCTCTGCCTAGAATGCTCCTCCTCCAGACGGTGCATGGCTCGCACTCAGCTTCAGCTCCTCCCTCAAATAACTGGCCACTTTGTATATAACTCACACATTTTCTAATTCCTTTCACTGCTTAATGCTTCTCCTTAATACCACCGTGTTACACCCTATTTATCTTTATATATTTTTATGTTTCTGTTGCTGACTGTTCCTCATCAGAACATAAACTCAAGAAAAAGACCATAAGCTCCATGAGGGCAGGTGTTTTCATCTTTTTTGTTTGCTGCCTGAAACCCAGCTCCTACAAGAGCGCCTAATGCACAGTGGTCGTCCAATAAATGTTGGATAAATTAAGGTTAACATTTTCATAAACCTGCATTATAATCAAGGCTTTAAAATGCCTTAATTTCTCCTGAAATTAAAATGTTTTTGTCATATATGGAGAGCGCTTACCTGACGAACTCTCTCTTTGGCGGACCTCATCAAATGGGTGATGGCTCTGTTGTGATGGAGTCTCAGCGAGCTAAACTCATCGCTACATGTAAAAGACGACAGCAGCCCCATTTTGATGAAGGTCTGACAAAGCACTAGAAAAAGAACACGGAAAACTATTATTAGAAAGGCCATCAATAAAACGACAATTTTAAGGAGACTAAAGAGTAATAATAGCCTCTATCAAAAAAAAAAAAAAAAACCTCTGAAAGAAAAAAGTTATGTTTATACACACATTACAGTTTGGATTTTGAGCCGATAATAGAGAAGGAATTGGCACTTGCTGATCAGGAACACATCTACAATTACTTATCTGATACCGAGCACTCACCTGTTTACCATGCCTGGCTGGTGGGTAAAGCACTAAGCTGTTTTTAAAAAGGCAAGAAAAAAAATGTAAATTTACTACTAGTCTTCTGACATTCAAAAAAATTTTTTTTTAATGTTTTTTATTTATTTCTAGGAGAGAGAGAGACAGCATGAGCAGGGGAGGGTCAGAGAGAGAGGGAGTCACAGACTTTGAAAGAGGCTCCAGGCTCTGAGCTGGCAGTCAGCACAGAGCCCGACGCGGGGCTCGAACCCACGAGCCGCGAGATCATGACCTAAGCGAAAGTCGGACGCTTAACCGACTAAGCCACCCAGGCGCCCCTAGTCTTCTGACATTCAAACACATCCCCTTTTGCTGAAAGGCAATGAGGTCCGAAAGAGGCAAGAGTGAAAATGTTATTAGAATGCACAACAGGACCAGATGGATCTGACAGATATATTTAGAACTCTACATCCTGAGGCCAGGGAATTCACTTTCTTCTCAAGTGCGCATGGCACATTCTCCAAGATAGATCACATATTGGGACATATAGCAGCCCTCAATAAATATAAAAGAATTGAGATCATACCATGCACACTCTCAGATCATAATGCTTTGAAACTTGAAATCAATCACAGGAAGAAGTCTGGAAAACTTCTCCAAAAAAGTCTCCAAAAACATGGAGGTTAAAAAAACACCCTACTAAAGAATGAATGGGCCAATCAGGCAATTAGAGAAGAAATTTAAAAATATATGGAAACAAATGAAAATGAAAACACAACAATCCAGACTCTATGGGATGCGGCAAAGGCAGTCCTAAGAGGAAAGTACATTGCACTCCAGGCCTATTTCAAGAAATTAGAAAAAGTGCAAGTCCAAAATCTAACAGCTCACCTAAAGGAACGAGAGGCAGAGCAACAAGAACGCCCCAAACCCAGTAGAAGAAGAAAAATAGTAAAAATCAGAGCAGAAATAAACAACATAGAGACCAAAGAAACAATCGAACAGATCAATGAAACCAAGAGTTGGCTTTTTGAAAAAATAAACAAAATTTACAAACCTCTAGCCAGGCTTCTCTAAAATAAAAGATAGAGCACCCAAATAGATAAAATCATGAATGAAAATGGATTTATTACAACCAACCCCTCAGAAATACAGGCAATTATCAGGGAATACTATGAAAAATTATATGCCATCAAACTGGACAACTTAGAAGAAATGGACAAATTCCTAAACACACAATCACTACCAAATTCACACGGGAAGAGATAGGAAATCTGCACAGACCCATAACTAGTGAAGAAATCGAATCAGTTATCAAAAAATCTCCCAACAAGAGCCCTGGACTTGATGGCTTCCCTGGGGAATTCTACCAGACGTTTAAAACAGAATTAATACCAATTCTTCTCAAGCTATTCCAAAAAACAGAAATCGAAGGAAAACTCCCGGACTCATTTTATGAAGCCAGTATCACTCTGATCCCAAGCCAGACAGAAATCCAGCAAAAAAAGAGAACTACAGGCTAATATCCTTGATGAATACATATGCAAAAATCCTCAACAAGATACTTGCAAATCGAATCCAACCAGCACATAAAAACAATTCTCCATCAAGATCAAGTGGGATTCACTCCTGGGTTACAGGGCTGGTTCAACATTCACAAATCAATCAATGTGATACATCACATCAACAAAAGGAAAGATAAAAAGCATATGATCCTGTCGATAGATGCAGAAAAAGCATTTGACAAAATACAGCATCCCTTCTTAACAAAGACTCTAGAGAAAGTCGGGATAGAAGGAACCTACTTAAATATCATAAAAGCCATCTATGAAAAGCCTTCAGCTAACATCATCCTCAACGAGGAAAAACTGAGAGCTTTCCCTCTGAGATCAGGAACACGACAGAGATGTCCACTCTCACCACTGCTGTTTAACATAGTGCTGGAAGTCCTAGCATCAGCCATCAGACAACAAAAGGAAATCAAAGGCATCAGAATTGGCAAAGAGGAGGTCAAACTTTCACTTTTCGCAGACAACATGATACTCTACATAGAAAACCCAACAGACTCCACCAGAAGCCTACTAGAACTGATCCAAGAATTCAGCAAAGTTGCAGGGTACAAAATCAACATACAGAAATCGGTCGCATTCTTATACACCAATAATGAAGCAACAGAAAGAGAAATCAAGAAGCTGATCCCATTCACAATTGCACAAAAAACCATAAAATACCTAGGAATAAACCTAACCAAGGATACAAGAGATCTGTATGATGAAAACTATAGAAAACTTATGAAAGAAATTGAAGAAGACACGAAGAAATGGAAAAACATTCCATGCTCATGGATCGGAAGAATAAATATAGTTAAAATGTCATTACTACCCAAAGCAATCTACACATTCAATGCAATCCCAATCAAAATTGCACCCGCATACTTCTCAAAACTAGAACTATCCTAAAATTTGTATAGAACCACAAAAGACTCCGAATAGCCAAAGTAATACTGAAAAATAAAACCAAAACGGGAGGTATCACCATCCCAGACTTTAGCCTCTACTACAAAGCTGTCATCATCAAGACAGTATGGTATTGGCACAAAAATAGACACATAGACCAATGGAATCGAATTGAGAACTCAGAGCCGGACCCAAAGGTATACAGCCAACCAATCTTTGACAAAGCAGGAAAGAATATCCAATGAAAAAAAGACAGCCTTTTTTTTTTTTAATTTTTTTTAATGTTTTATTTATTTCTAGGGGAGAGAGAGAGAGACAGCATGAGCAGGGGAGGGTCAGAGAGAGAGAGGGAGACACAGAATCTGAAGCAGGCTCCAGGCTCTGAGCTGGCAGTCAGCACAGAGCCCGACACGGGGCTCGAACCCACGAACCGCGGGATCATGACCTAAGCGAAAGTCGGACGCTTAACCGACTAAGCCACCCAGGCACCCCAAAAGACAGCCTTTTTAACATATGATGTTGGGAGAACTGGACAGCAACATGCAAAAGAATGAAACTAGTTCATTTTCTCACACCATACACAAAAATAAACTCAAAATGGATACAGGACCTGAACGTGAGACAGGAAACCATCAAAACCCTAGAGGAGAAAGTAGGAAACAACCTCCTTGACCTCCACCACAGCAACATCTTACTTGACACATCCCCCAAAGCAAGGGAATCAAGAGCAAAAATGAACTATTGGGACCTCATCAAGATTAAAAGCTTCTGCACAGCCAAGGAAACGATCCACAAAACTAATAGGCAACCAACGGAATGGGAAAAGATAGTTGCAAATGACATATCAGATAAAGGGTTAATATCCAAAATCTATAAGGAACTCACCAAACTCCACACCCGAAAAACAAACAACCCAGTGAAGAAATGGGATGAACAGACACTTCTCCAAAGAGGACATCCAGATGGCCAACAGACACATGAAATGATGCTCAGCATCCCTCCTCATCAGGGAAATACAAATCAAAACCACACTGAGATACCACCTCACGCCAGTCAGAGTGGCTAAAATGAGCAAATCAGAGAACTCTAGATGCTGGCGAGGATGTGGAGACACGGGCACCCTCCTACACTGTTGGTGGGAATGTAAACTGGTACAGCCCCTCTGGAGAACAGTGTGGAGGTTCCTCAAAAAATTAACCATAGAACTCCCCTAGGACCCAGCAATAGCACTGCTAAGAATTTACCCAAGGGATACAGAAATGCTGATGCATAGGAGCACATGTACCCCAATGTTCATAGCAGCACTCTCAAAAATAGCTAAAACATGGAAAGAGCCTAAGTGTCCATCAACAGATGAATAGATCAAGAAGATGTGGTTTATCTATACCATGGAATACTACATGGCAATGAGAAACAATGAAATCTGGCCATGTGTAGCAACATGGATGGACCTTGAGGGTGTTCTGCTGAGTGAAATAAGTCAGGCAGAGAAGGACACATAGCATATGTTTACACGTATAGGAGGATTAGGAGGAACTTGACGGAGGACCATGGGGGAGAAGAAGGGGGGAAATGGTGAGGGAGAGGGATAGAGGCAACCCATGAGAGACTCTTGAATGATGAGAACAAACTGAGGACCGATGGGGGGGGGTAGGGGGGAGATGCACATGGAGGAGGGCACTGTGGGGATGAGCACTGGGTGTTATATGGAAACCAACTTGACAATAAACTATTTATAAAAAAAATAATTAAATAATTAAAAAAAAGAACGCACAACAAAAGTTGTTCTTGATAATGGACATCTCTCTAGCCACCAAAGAGCACACATGCATAAAGACCAAATACCAAGGGGAAAGTCACAATACCAGGCTCCTCAGAAAAAAAAATTTCTAAAGAATCCTTGGCCTTTATTTATTCATAAACCACATACACACACATACACACACACACACACACACACACATACACACACACACACACACCATAGAGAAAATTTTTATTTTTCTATATGGACAACTTCATTAGATTATCAACTAATTGTATGACATCAGAAACATTTTAAGTATATTTTAAAAGTTCAGTCGCCTAAAAAGGAATTCAGAGATATCTTAAAATCACCAAGATTTCAGATTTGCTTTAATTAGGAACACGATTACTACTTAAAGATCACTATAATCTGCTTTACTATTCAATGAGCTCAATACAATAATCCCCAGCTACCAATGTTCTGGAGCCTACAGAACACCTCCTTTTGCACAACCCACCTCCCCACCACTCGTTCAAAAAACTAAGTGTACATTCATACATTTTCCATGTCCCACCAAGCTCATCGAAATAATCATCTGCCTGTAACTAAAAACATCCCATACTAAGATCACATAAAGGTATCTATAAGTTTGAGGATTCCTAACACTAAACAAGACTTAGACTTTTTTGGTAGAGTCTGTGGCTGGCCAGAGCTATTAAAGAAGCCACAAAGCACTCGATGAGCTGAACCAGAAACATCATAATCTGTCACTCTGCTCACCTCTGGGCCCAAGTTTCTCATACACATAACCTATGGCAACAATAAAAATAAACATTCCAACCATTGTGGTACAATAGGAAACATACTTGGTCTTATCTCCTAAAACTCACACAGATCCTAAAATTCTTGTGATTTCCCAAGTGCTGAGGGTGCAAGGAGCATCTTTTGTTCCAATATTTGGTCTTCACCCTCAGTTCCTGACACAAGAGCTTCTAAGACCCTTGGAATCTCCAGTGTGGTGAGTGTCTTTGTTACACTGACGAGATGACTGGGGGTCCCCAAGGGAGCTTCAAATGGGGACAGGTCACCAGAAAGACCAAGCCTTGATGAGAAGCTTGGAACTTTCAGCTCTACCCCTCCATTTTCCAGGGAGAGAAGAGCAGGGGATTGAGTTAATAATTGATCATGCCACCGTGATGAAGTCTCCATAAACTCCTTCAGATGGAGGACTCAGGGAGCTTCTGGGGGAACACATCCAACCACCAAGAGAGTGATACACCCCAACTCCAGGGGGACAGAAGCTCCCGTACTCTGGACCCTACTGGTCCTCATCCTATGTGCCTCTTCATCTGGCTGTTCACCTGTATCGGTTATCATACCCTCTGTTGTATAATAAACCAATAAGCAGAAGTGTCTCCCCAAGTACTGAGAGCCATTATAGCAAATTATTAAACCAGAGAGATCAACCCCTTACAGTTAACAATTTATACCCAAGTTGGAGACAAATACAGGTAACCCATGGACACTGGGGATCCACTACTTGCCAACTGGCATCCAAAATGAAAGCAGTCTGTGGGACTGAACCCTTAACCTGTGGGATCTGATAATAACTCCAAGAAGACAGTGTCAGAACTAAACTGAATTGCAGGACACCCAGATGATGTCAGAGAACTGGTCAGCACGGGAAAACACCCATACATTCGGTGTCAGAAGTATCCAGTGCATAGAGGAAAACAGTTTCCTGTTCAACAACATAACATGTGGCTCCTCCAGGGCTCTGGTCAAGAACTAGTTCAGAATGAGGCGCCTGGGTGGCTCAGTCAGTTAAGCGTCCAACTCCAGCTCAGTCATGATCTCACAGATCGTGAGTTCAAGCCCCACATTGCGCTCTGTGCTGACAGCTCAGAGCCTGGAGCTTGCTTCCGATTCTGTGTCTCCCTCTGTCTCTGTCCCTTCCCCGCTCATACTCTGTCTCTGTCTCTCTCTCCTTCAAAAATAAATAAACATTAAAAGAAATTAAAAAGAAAAAAAAGAACTAGTTCAGGACGAGCACCTGTGATTTTTGTTTTCCTGTTCACCAATGAAACCATGGCAGACCTTCAAAAATATATGAATGGACATGTTATAAAGACAAGAAAACTACCTTTTATTTGTTTAAATACACACAATTACATGGTTATTAGTCTTTTGGGGTCCTCGATGACTACATTCGTAAGCAATTACCCAAAGGAAAATATAAAATACATCCAAGAAATAGAAACTATTAACAGTTATTTCAAATGTTTACATACCAGCTGCTTCTCAGACCCACATCAAACAACATAGTATTTCTGCGAGGCTTATTTGGCAAGATGTAGTGTTACTAACATTTAAACACCTGTCTTGAGCGCAGAGGGTCTGGCTCATGCACATGGCTCAAGTGCTCGAGCAAGGAGACAAGCAGCAGTTGGTTCGCAACCACGAAAGGGAAAGTCGGCTGTTGGAGGGGTCCTTTTAACACCTGAAGTTCCGCTGGAACATCGGATTCTACAAATTGAGAGAGGAAAAAAACAGTAAACCTATCTCATAATGACAAAATAGCAGATTCCAATTAATGCAACACAAACTATTTACATCTAAGGAAATAAAACACAAAACAGTAGTTATGCCCAGTGGGGTTAATCAAGACAGACTTTCCTGAACTGAGTTTGGAGTCAAACTCTGGAAGCTGGAAGACTAGCAGAGGGATGCCATGGAGGGGGGAGGGGGAGAGTGTGGTAGTAATGACAGGTGCAAAGGCAGAACTAGGTAAATGAATACCTAAACATTCAAGCAAATGAAAGGCAACAGGATGGCTTTTTCCTTCAAGAGGACAGCCGAAGCCCATGCATGAAGAAGCAAGTTTGGCCGCGCAACGAGGTCAAGGGAGGAAGGACAGAAACTACCTGGGGCATATGCTATGTGTACACCAGGTGTTTCATGTGCACAAGCTCATTCAATCTTCACAAAAACAGTGGAAAGGAAATGTTACCGTTCTCACTTTACAGATCTCATAAAGAGGTTAGCTAACTTGTAAGCAGATAGATCAGAATAACTCCCAAAGCGAAGTTCATTTATTTTGAAAGAGAGCAAGCGAGCACGGGAGGGGCAGAGCGAGAGAGGGAGAGAGAAAATCTCAAGCAGGCTCCATGCTCTCAGGGCAGACCCCAAAACGGAGCTCAAACTCCCCAACTGTGAGATCATGATTCGAGCTGAAACCAAGAGTCGAATGCGTAACTGAGCCTCACAGGCGCCCCTGAGCCTGTCCTCTCCGCTACACAAGCCCAAGCAGATGAATGAGTTGGCACTTCAAGCTGAAGGTTGTAAGTTCTCATTTACTCTTTATTTAATATGTCACTGAATAGGCCAAAAGCAGTCAGAAGGAAAAATGTCTAAGGAAACTGTTCTGGAACATGAAACAGGTAGACAGGAAGGGACATGCAACAGTCACAAGAGCCTACTAAAGGAGGTAAATGAAAGAAACATGGAGGAAAGAACACGTCCCAGAGAGGTCAAGAAAGAAACGCACTGGCCAATTATACAACACGAGGAAAAGGAGGATGGAGGCGTTAATGGGAGTGAAAACTGTAAGAGGGGCTGTTAGAAGAAAGAGGAGACCTTGTGATCTTTCCAATTGTGGGTCCGTTCAATTGGAAATACCCTGCAGAACCAGAGAACACACATCCTACATCTGCTAAAAAGCCTTCCCATCTTAAATATTCTATTCCACCCTCCTCTATAATCTATTAAGGTCCTGGAAAAGTCAGTTTCTAAATCCAGACTTCATCACCAATTTCCTCTCTGACTTGTAAGGAGACCAAAAGAACACCTATGAGGTACGGAGATGTGCTATTGGTTTTAAATGAAAACTTAACCAAGTATGGGGGTGAGGAAAGAATGAAAAACGTGCCCATGTAAAAATTTCTCTATGTAAAGACATCTTAAAGTTAAAACGTGAATCACAAATTCAGATATAGTACATAGATCTGTGCTGTACATGACACAAAAAAGAAAAGATAGTAAAATTTATATAGAGCTCTTATAAGCTAGTAAGAAAATGAAGCACAGTTAAAATTCAAATAGGTTTAACATAACTAGTAACTAATGACATATACATTAATATAACTATGGTACCAGAATTTGCCATTAGATTGGTAACTATTTAAAGCCTGGAGGGGCGCCTGGGTGGCTCAGTTGGTTAAGCTTCCAACTTTAGCTCAGCCCACTTCGGATCCTGTGTCTCCTTTCTCTCTGTCCCTCTTGCTCCGGCTCTGAATCTCTCTCTCTCTCAAAGATAAATGAACGTTTAAAAAAAATCAAATCCTGGAATACATGGTATTGTTATAGGCACAGAAAAGCAGACATTCTCAATCACAAGGTGGTAAAAGTGTTTGCAACTTCTGGTAATAAATACAGAATTCAAAATGTACAAATATTTGACCCAGCACTTCTAGTTTTTGGAAACATCCACCAAGAAAATAAGTAAACAAAGCACAGCAAATATATAAGATGTTTAGCATACCACTGTTTAGAATACTGAAAACCTGCTAGGTAAGTTATATACATACCACAGGATATTATGCACTTGCTGGAAACGATGGTGTATAAAAAGATAATCATGAATAGCCCGTTATCCAGTCAAAGGAGCAAGAATAAAGCAGTAATACTAATGAAGGTGAGGCGAGATAGTCCCATACAAACCAATACAACCTCTCTGTTCATCATTTAATCAAAATGTATCAAAACTTTTTTTTTAATGTATTTCTTTAACCCAACAAATCCTACTTCTGTACATGTAGTCTAAAGAAATAATCAGGTATCAATAAAGACTTTTGTGGGAGGCTCAGTGGATTAAACATCTGACTCTTGATTTCAGCTCAGGTCATGATGTCATGGTTGGTGAGATTGAGCCCTGAGTCGAGTAAGGCTCTGAGCTGACAGCACAAAGCCTGCTTCAGATTCTCTTTCTCCCACTCTCTGCCCTTTGCCTGCTCCTCTCTCTCTCAAAATAATTAAGCATCACAAAGCAGAACATAAAAGGTTTATCATACTATGATTATAATTTAAAAATGCATTTATTTCATAGCTATATAAATATATATACAATAGAAAAAACAAAACAGACAAAATCTCTCCCCCTTGTTTTCAACAATATATCAATAGAATTTGTACAGGAAATGAAATTACAGTGAACATGCTGTTTTACAGTCTGCCTGTTTGATCCTTGGGATCTAGATTCTTAAAAGAAAAAATTTTTTTAATGTTTTATTTATTTCTGAGAGAGAGAGAGAGAGCGAGCGAGCAAGTGAGCGCAAGCAGGGGAGGGTCAGAGAGAGAGGGAGACACAGAATCTGAAACAGGCTCTACACTCCAAGCTGGCTGTCAGCACAGAGCCCGACGCAGGGCTCAAACCCACGAACTGCGAGATCATGACCTGAGCCAAAGTCAGATGTTCAACGGACTAAGCCACCCAGGCGCCCCTTTTTTCTTTTTAATTTTTTTTTTTTAAGTAGGATCTTAGTATCTAGAAATCCACCTGGCTTACAGCAGTCCTCATTAATATTTGCAAATGAATATACTAAATTGTTAGTGGTGAATCATTTGGAATGGGAGTACAGATGACTTTCTCCTCTTTTTCCTTTATTTCCTTAAATTTTTCTGAATGATTTCTCTAAATTTTTATCTTATTTGGACAAACTCAGATAGAAATCTTTAACCCATTCAAGATATCTTTGACAATATCATTTTTTACGAGAGAGACAGCGCATGTGCACGAGAGAGGGGCAGAGGGAGAAAAATCTTAAGAAGGCTCCATGCTCAGCGCAGAGCCTGACACAGGGCTCAATCCCACGAACCTTGAGATCATGACCTGAGCTGAAATCAGAAGCTGGACAATAAACCGACTAAGCCACCCAGGCGACCGGTCAACAATAGATTTAAATGCAAGTCATCAAATAAACTGTCTCTAGCTATGCCAAAATGAAAACAGTAATCTCTGGGTAATCAGATTGTGGTTTTTAAATTTTCTTCTTTAGGTTTTTCTATAATTTCAACATACTCTGTAATGCGAAAAAAAAATTTTTAATATATTGATTTGCCAACAATGGTGAGCTGATGGTTAGGACGGTTTTCTGCTTCTCTATACTCATACTTCCCTACTTTCTAAAATAATTAACTTCTACTTTTTAATAAGAAAAACAAAACAAAAAAAGAACTATCAGTGGAGTCAAATGAACCAACTAAATCAAGAAAATAGCAGGGTGCCTGGGTTTCATGTGAAAATAGCAGGGTTGGACGTTAAGCGTCCGACTTCGGCTCAGGTCATGATCTCAGGGTTCGTGGGTTCGAGCCCCGCATCAGGCTCTGTGCTGACAGCTAGCTCAGAACCTGGAGCCTGTCTTTTGATTCTGTATCTCCCTCTCTCTCTGACCCTCCCCTGCTCACCCTGTCTCTCTCAAAAATAAGTTTAAAAAATAAAAATAAAAAAATTTTTTGCAATTAAAAAAGAAGAAGAAGAAGAAAATAGCAACTGTAAAAAAAAAAAAAAGACCAGTGGACAAATACCAAACGCAGGAAGGAGTAAAACTGAAAGGCAATGAAGGCTGACACTGAATGCTTCCCATTTCAATCCTGGTCATGCAGAAGAGGGAGATCAAAGTGGCTAATAGGAAAGATGAGGCCAGGTCCTCTTACAAAAGAATAAGAAGTGGTATGAGATCCTAGGTGAATTAGAGTTCTAGAATTCTGCCAAGAAGGAGATGGGTAGACAAACAGGAAAAGGATCACGGACTTCAGGCTCCTCAGGCAAGTAGGATCTGAATAAATGGTCCATTATTAAATGAAGGAGAAACCTGGAGGATTAATCTGAGCGAAAATTTCTGGAAAACTTCTGTCAGATGAAAGAAAAACCAAAGAGCCTGACAATAGGCTTACTGCTGCTCTCCTTCTACAGCATGTTGGGGTGGGGGGTGGGGGGGGAGACATGCAGTAAGGTTTTAGAGTTAGACTTAGGTTCTGAATTTTCTGACTCTACCATAAACTGTAAGAGTGACTACTTCACATCATACAGACGACCTCCAAGAAATCCTGTAACTTGTTCTAAGTCTACCAAAAATGAAACTATTCTCCATAGACTTTACTTTTCACATAAAAAGACATTATGTCTGGATATTCTGGACCTCTCTGGGAAAAAACGCAATACGTAAACACAACAGTACTATCAGTAACCTAGGAGAAGGAAGTCTTTCAAAGCTTATCTAAGATCACTCCCTTCAAGAATAGGATCTCTCCTTTGCAGAAAACCTTATCTCAATGTTACAGAAAACACACACTTGGATGTTTACAGCTGGAACTTTTCCTCTGACATTAACATTTCACCTAATACTGAGCTGCCTTAGTAAACCAGGTTTCATGTGAAAAAAAAAAATCAGTACATTAAAAAATAGTTCTCTCCAGGCACCTAGGTGGCTCAGTCAGTTGGGCCTTCGACTTCAGCTCAGGTCATGATCTAAGGTTCCTGGGCTCTAGCCCGCATCGGGCTCTGTGCTGACAGCTCAGAGCCTGGAGCCTGTTCAGATTCTGTGTCTCCCTGTCTCTCTGCCCCTCCTCCTCTCATGCTCCGTCTCAAAAATAAATAAAACATTTTTAAAAAAAAAAAGTTTTCTTAAGACTGCTCTCTGTCAATGACCTCCTTAAATTACCACCACAGTCTGCTTTTGTCTCCTTTAGGGTCAAGAATTATAGACAGTATCGGGGTGAAGTTCGAAGGACTTAAGGAATAAATTAAACTTTCCAACTTGGCTTGCACCTTCAAATCCACTGCAACATCTTAATATGTTTCATGCTTCAACTGAGTGTGTATTCCCTGTAATCATCCTAACTACCATAAAGCCAAAACCTCCCTGAATCAATGCATTCATTCCTGATGGCCCAACTTAACTTTAAAAACTGCCAAAACAAGTGGTAGTAATTAAAGGCCCTATGAACCTTCAATAAAATAGTGGATACTCTGAAGTGGTTAGAGTCAACGTTTTAAGTATCTCTCACTATAAAATAACTTGCCTGACTTAACGCTGTATCTCCTAGTAACCAAAGCCTAGCACCACCACCCCCCCCAAAAAAAAAAAACGTGGGGCATTGTTTTTCTTTAAACCGAACAGGGTGATTTCCATTCGGCCCCACTCTAAGAAGTCTTTAGCTCCCCTATCAGTGAGACGCTACAAATTTAAACGCTTAACCCAAACTGTTCAGCGTATAAGGTCTGCAAAACCTCCGTCTAATAGTTTACAAAGTTCACTCTCAACGTCTGACAAAACTACAGGGCTCCAGAGCTGGAAAGCAGCCTGGGGGAAGTCTTACCACGTCCGGAGCCGAGTCCGCAAAGAGGAAACCACGAAACATAAACGTAAACAAACCAGTGGGTCGTGGACGCTTGTTTCAATATACGTTTACCTCACCCAGGCCGCCCGCCCGCCGCCCCCCGCGCTGTATCGCTGGGCCGGGGTCCAGCCGAATTCGCCCCGGGGCTGCGGCGAAGCTCGGGGGTGCTCGCAGCAGCCCTGCCCGCACAGGAATGAAGGTGGATGGGTGCAAGATGAGGCCCGCCGCGGCATTCGAGGTCCCTCACCATCATACTTGGGGTCCGAGCCGTCGGCCGGGAACTCGATGGCAGGCGGCGCAGGAACAGCCTCTGCCCCGTCGCCCTCCGCCTGGCGCTCCCGGGTCCCGGAGCTGCCTCCCAGCATCTCCCGCAGCGCGCGGGCCCCGCCACCTAGCACGGCACCCACTCACTCTGCACCAGCGGCGCCCGCCACCGGATGCGGAAAGTAGTCCCTCGCAAGGCGGAAGACCCGCCCCGGCCTTCCGCGCGCCGCCAGCCGGGGCGGGCCCTATCGCGGGCTCCGCCCTCTCCCGGTCCCTGGAGGAAAGGATGGGCTGGTCCGGCGCTGGCACCCTAGTGGGCTGGTCCTCGCGTGGAGGCCGGTGAAATGGAGGCTCTCGGTTCTCGCTACGCCCGGGGTCCTCTACCTGTGTTCCCGGCCACCCTGGAGGTCTTAGTACCCGCACACGAGTCAGAGTGTTCACCTCTCACGCTGAGACTCAGATGTGTCTGCAGAGATTCTAATCCAAATACATACTTTCTGTGGATACATTATTTGTCATTTGTTTAAAAAAAAAAAATCAAAAGTATCTGCAGGACCTACCTCAACAAGAACTGACCCTATTTTGTCAACCATTAAACCAAAAACAACAAAAAAGGGGAATGCCAACCATATTCCAAAGTAAATCCAACTTAAAATTTTCGCTTTTTGAGACTGAACTTTCAACGGAAATACTTTCAAATCTGAGACTGCCTTTTCCAAGTGACCCCCTAGCCACACTGCATCGACTGTGACTTGAAGTCTTTAGCTTCAAAAATCTTCTGCCCTCTGGAGATGTCTTTGATTCTTTGATGACTTGGTGACCAACACAATGCTGCCAGAAATGATTCTTAGATCTCAGATCAGATTATGCAGCTGGGATAAAAAGCCTTTCAGATTTTGAGCCTCAACCCCAGTGCAATGTGCAAAAGTGATACTGCTTAAGAAGTTTATGTGAGCACAGTTTTCTTTTAAAGTCATACAGGATGCATTCAGCCTGATAGAAGTAATTTGGATAGGATTCACCAAATAACTCCCACCAAAGCTTAGGGATACCTCTTTCCATGCCCTGCTGATTTATCCATATGTATCCACAACTTTAAAAATGCAAATACTTTTGACTCATTATTCCACTTTCAGAAATTTATTCTAAGAAACAGGTTTAGAATAGCAAAACAACTCAGCTAAATCTATTAATTGCAACACTAGTTATAATACCCAAAACAGGAGGACAACATAATTGACTGAGTCACTTATGAACATCCATACGCACACATTACAACCAATAAAAAGTTGGTATGCAATATCGAGTTCTTGCCACTTTCCACCCCCACCAGAATGAAGAAAGCAGCAAACCCATTCAGGTAGGAAAATAAATGAAGGCAACATTTCTAGAAGACGATATTCAAGTTATGGTGAGAAGTTTTAAATAGGCATACTCTTAAACCTACATGCATTTCCTATACACAAAGGAAATAATCAGAGTGGTGAAAAAAAGATAAATCTATGAGTATGCATCAAAGTGTAGTTGATAACAGAAAAGCACTGGAATAAATCCAAATTCCAAGAAGAAGAGCAGTTAGGGTACACCCAAGCAATGAAAACTTATGCAGCCATTACAAAAATGGGGGATTGGGCAGGTGCATGTTCCTCTATTTCTTCCATGATGTCTAGTTTTTCTAGAAAATTCTAGTTTTTCTCTATTTTATTGGCCATCCATCTCAGTATCACTTTCTGGACTCTCCTCCTCCAAATGCATAATTCTGCTCTTGTCATGTCAGCCCACATTCTCTCAGGAGATAACCACATGCAGTGCTATCACTTTACATACTATCTATGGGCTAGCAACCCCTAAATGTATCTCTGCAACACAGACTTATTCTTTTGGATGACTCAAATGCATCTCAAATTTCTGAAAGCAAACTCTTGATATTCCTCCAAAAATTTGTTTTCCACTATGTCTCTTCATTCATTTAAGTAGCACACAATCCACCCACTTATTCATACCTAAAACATGAGAGTCAACCTTTATTCCGTATCCAGAATTTAGCCGGACTGCCTATATATTAACTAAAAATTAGAAACATGATATAGCTTATAAACATGTAATATCAAACAAACAATTAACTGGGGGAAACTTCTGGGTGGCTCAGTCGGTTGAGCGTCCGACTTCAGCTCAGGTCATGATCTCACGGTTCGTGGGTTCAAGCCCCTCATCGGGTTCTGTGCTGACAGCTCAGAGACTGGAGCCTGTTTCCTATTCTGTGTCTCCCTCTCTCTCTGCCACTGCCCCACTCATGCTCAGTCTCTCTCTGTCTCGAAAATAAATAAAACAAAATAAAAATTAAAAAAAAACAAGCAATTAACTGGAAAGGAAACCAAACAGCCAAAAAACATAGAAAAAGACACACAAATTACACCAGGGACAGGTAAAGGCAAATTAATGAAATATCATTTCAAACTATCATATTTGCAAAATTAGTCTTTCATACCAAGTGTGGTTGAGGATGTGGAGGAAAGGGAGCTATCATACACCACTAAAGAGCTATTTAGTGATACTGGATAAAGTCAAATGACACATAACCAAGATCCAGTAATTTAATCTCCATTCTCTTTGGATGCTTCTAGATGTGCCCAAGGATACATATATATGTGTATGTCTACATGTCTTCTCATGAATATTGAAAATAACACAGCATATATTGCAGAGGTTTTTTTTTTAATGGTAATAATAAAATAATAATTGCAGGGGCGCCTAGGTGGTTCAGTCGGTTAAGAGTCCAACTTCAGTTCAGGTCATGATCTTGAGATTTGTGAGTTCAAGCCCAGCATAGGGCTCTGTGCTGACTGACAGCTCAGACCCTGGAGCCTGCTTCAGATTCTGTGTCTCCCTCTCTCTCTCTACTCCTTGCCTGCTCACGACTGTCTCTCTCTCTCTCAAAAATAAATAAACATTAAAATAATAAGAATAATAATAATTGTAACATTTACTGAGCACTGTGTCAATTCCATTCCTTCACCTGTTCTGTACTTTGACAAATATTAACTCATTCAATCCTCATTACAAATTACAAGCCAAGTGCTATAATTATCCTAGTTTGTACTTGAGAACATAGAGGCAAAGAGAGCTTTTCAAATAAATACCTTGCCTAAGGCCACACAACCTGATGTATCTGGGGCAGCCAGGATTTTTTTCTGCATGTCATCTTTCATTGCTATCTACGTTTTTATGACAGCTTTTTTTTAATGTTTTATTTATTTCTAGGAGAGAGAGAGAGACAGCGTGAGCAGGGGAGGGTCAGAGAGAGAGGGAGTCACAGACTGAAACAGGCTCCAGGCTCTGAGCTGGCAGTCAGCACAGAGCCTGACGCGGGGCTCGAACCCACGAACCGCGAGATCATGACCCAAGCGAAAGTTGGACGCTTAACCGACTAAGCCACCCAGGCGCCCCTATGACAGCTTTAATGAGATAACTTATACACCATAAAACTCATTCTAAGATTCTTTTCAAATGTACAAATTGCTGGTTTTTAGATACGCAGAGTTGGGCCATGATCACCACTATCTGATATATTTTTAATGTTTATTTATTTAATTTGAGAGAGAGAGAGTGCCAGCAAGAGAGAGAGGGAAAGAGAGAATCCCAAGAACACTCTGTGCTGTCAGCGCAGGGCAGACAGGGGCTCGATCTCACAAACCATGAGATCATGACCTGAACCAAAATCGACAGTAAGACGCCCAATGGACTGGGCTATCCAGGTGCCCCAAGGCTATCTGATTTTAGAACACTTTTTGTCACCCCCAAAAGAGACTCCTTTGGGGCTGGATTTTTTTTGTTTTTTTGTTTTGTTTTGTTTTGTTTTATTTATTTTTTTTTAAATTTTTTTTTAATGTTTTTATTTATTTCTAGGAGAGAGAGAGAGACAGTGTGAGCAGGGGAGGGTCAGAGAGAGAGGGAGTCACAGACTGAAACAGGCTCCAGGCTCCGAGCTGGCAGTCAGCACAGAGCCCGACGCGGGGCCCGAACCCACGAACCGCGAGATCATGACCTAAGCGAAAGTCGGACGCTTAACCGACTAAGCCACCCAGGCGCCCCAGGGGTTGGATTCTTTTTGGACTCCCTTATTTGTTACATCAAAATAAATAAGTATATTACATATGCAAATGAATATTATAAAACTGTTAGAATGATTCAACCAGATTCAAGGTGCTTAGTTAAGTACAGTACACTTCATGCAGTAGGCAGAGAAAAAACAAACACATACAAACACACACATAGGCAGTTTGGCCCTAAATTTGGCCTTGTAATTTACAGTTTGATGCCATATATGTAAAAATGTTTAAATATGCAAGAAAGCATATTATTCTGATATATATAGTAAAAATATTAAAATATCAATGGGAATATCTGACTTTAAGAAAGAGATTACTTCTTGAGAGGAAGGAGGAGAGCAGGATTAAAAATAAGAATTTAACGACATTTGTAAATGCTATGTTTTTTTTTAAGAAAAGCAATTCTCTATTTTTTAATGTTTATTTTTGAGAGAGAGACAGAGACAGAGAGCGAATGGGGAAGGGGCAGAGAGAGAGGAAGACACAGAATCCCAAAGCAGGCTCCAGGCTCTGAGCTGTCACCACAGAGCCCAACACAGGGGTTGAACTCAGGAACTATGAGATCATGACCTGAGCTGAAGTCAGATGCTCAACCAACTGAGCCATCCAGGCACAAGGGAAGCAATTCTTAAGCAAATACAGCTTAAAGTCAGCAGTTGTTAAATTTGGGTATGGAAACTTCAGTGTTTATCTTATTCCATGTACCTTTTTACATGTTTGAAGAATTTCATATTTATAATTCTTTTCCAAGAAAACACGTGTATTAGCCGGGGCTCTCCAGAGAAACAAAACCAATAGGATGTGCATACAGAGATAGATTTGTTTTAAGGAATTGGCTCACACAAGCAAATCTAAAATCTGCAGGATGGGCCAGGGAAGAGCCGACGGTGCGGTCACGTCCAAAGGCCATGTGCTGGAAGAAGTCCTTCTTGCTTGGAGAAAGTCAGTCTGTTGGTTCCATGAAGGCCTTCAATTGATTGGATGAGGCCCACTCAGGTTATGAAGGGCCATCCACCTTACACAAAATCCACTGATTTAAATGTTAATCTAATCAAAAATC